CTCAGGATTTTCTATTGCTCTTTAGCAGGCTGCACTTTATAAGGCTTTTTTAATTTATATGATTATAACAGGAGAAATGTCCATCATTAAGGTTTTTAAACTGTTTGGATTCTAAATCTCCTTTTTCTATGTTTAAGAACTTGCCCCAAATTTTCATTGCTCGAGCTGAAATTTCTCAACCTTTCTTTCATCATGACTGTATATTTCTCTGGAATGCTTGAAAATAAAGGGCATAAATGGGATGGCTTTACGCTTATTCTTTTACCTTCAAAGAAAACACAAATACTTGGAAAAATTTTACTCTGATGGAAAAGAAAAATCACAAGAAGCAATGGTTCTCACTGAGGGGAAGGACTTTTCCTCGTTCTGCAAGAAGGTGAAGTTGAGTAACAAGGTTGTAGAAATCATTGCAGATGAAGCAAATGCAAAAATCATCTTTGTTTTGTTTTGTTTTGTTTTTACCCTGGATAAGGAAGGCAGTGACCATGGAGAGGCACTTGAAATGGGCTTATCTCTTGCCCATTTTTGCAAAATGTGTGAAGACAAATTAGGCAAATTAATGGGGAAAGGCAGTACAGAAGTATGATTGCCTGGAGGCAACCTCTTGTGCAGGAGGTCCCCAAGCAGTGCATTGCATATAGGCAGGGGAGAAAGGGGGCAGAAGGAGAAAGATGTCATAAAGAAAAGACTGTTTTCTATATTCCCTATTTATTTCTTTCTATCCCTGTCCCAGACAGGATGCTGGTCAAGGTGGGATTTTTCTCTGAGCCTTAGTGAATTCCATATATTCTTAAACTTTCAGGGACCATGGCGACATATACATGTGAACATAACTTCAGTACTGGTATGAATGCTAACGATGTTCAAAAACAACTAATTGCTGGGTGAGGTGGCAGGTTTATTTAAATTCCCACAAGTGTGGGGAATGTATTTGCTGAGGGGTAGCTGCTCCTCTGCGTATGCTGGGACCTGAAATACTGCTCACCTATACAGAGGAGGAAGCAAGAGGTTTGCTCTCCTATTAATACCCTGACACGGCTTCGTATTATAGGTTATATTAATGTCCTTACTTAACATTTCAGAAGCATCAGTGATATTAATAAACATTAAGCACTGGCTCAGGAATAATTTATACAAAGTGCAGTGAAGTCACGCTCTGGCAGTGCTTGTTGTTTTAAGGCATTTGTAATGGGGTGACACGTTCCTCGTAAAGTACCCAGACAAGCGCAGGTCATTTGTTTTCTGTCACCTTATGCTCCGAAGCAAAAAATCTGCATTAACTTTTGGCAGGAGCGGGTAGTGAGTCGTGCTGGGAGGCTGGCCACGACCCCACGTCCCCTGAGCGCAGGAGGGATGGTTGCCTTCATTTGGATGCCTTGAGACAAAGCTGTGGAGAGGAGGATGCTCTGCTGAAGAAGGGATTTTGGAAGAGTGAGACCTTGGAGGGAAACCTTAAGAACTGAGAAAGTTCAGGAAGGACATCTAGGCTGAAATCTATATTCGTGTCATTGTTGTTTTTTAATCATGTACAAAACCAAGTCCCATCACATAGGGGAAAGTTTGGGTGAGTAAGTTTTAGACTGAAGGTTATTGGCAGTTGAGTTGTTAGATTCTGCTGTGTTAACTATTTCTGCCTTGAATCACAGGGATTTCTTTCCTTCCCAAAATTCATAACCAGTATCTAAAATCAGAGAACAACCTGTAGTTGGTACTGAATAATGAAGAAGGTTTATCAGTTAAATGTATTAAATCTGTAGAAGTTTTCTGAGTTTCCTCAAATACCTTCCCCTTTTCCCAAGTAACAAGTGACAGGATTTGCACAAGCACAACAAACCAAAGTCAACATTTATCTGTATGAAAACATCTACAAATCAAGTTCTCTCAGATTGTTTGTTCAGCACTAAAAGTGTATTAGCCCTTTTCCCAGAAATAATGAAATCAAAACATTTACCCTCTGGATGATTTAGGTACCTTATAAAGTAAAACCACTCTGAGCTAGGAAAGCATCGCAAAGTGTTCATTAAAGCAAAGGGCTTGGTCTTGTCCAAGTGAAGCCCATGGCATAGTGCCCATCGAGTTAAAGCCTAAAGAAAACAGCCATGGGAGCAATGAGCTCTAATCTTTAGTCCATAGTATCAGCTGTTTACAGACACATATGGAGTGATTAATACAATGCTAGAAAATGTTGACAAAGCAGTGGGGAGTTAGAGATAGCTCTGAAAATTTCCTTATCATATTTCTAAATGACCGGAGTTACAGTTCTTAAAATGTATGACAAAACACGTTTTCTCTCCAAACTTGCTGGCAGGTCTAACCAAAAGTGTCATCAGAGCATTGGGAATTGACTGGTGGAAATGAAGCTCCTGTTCTGCTCTTCCTGGCTCCTTCTCAGGGATGGGAGCCCCAGTAGGGTCCGTCCATCTCACATGTTCTACAGACCCAAGATCTTCCCAGTTGTAGCTTGTGCTTTCTTGCACTCTTTTTTTTTTTTTCTTTCTTTTTTTAGTTTTCCTCTCCTCTCCACTCCTGTCCTCTCCTGTCCTCTCCTCTCCTCCTACCAAGAGCTCTCCCAGCTTAGTATTTCTGAGGAAGCAATAATAAATCCTGCTTGATTTCAGGACTGCTGACAGGCTAATTACTGGGCATAAGCATCCCTTAGTGTCCCTGGGGTTTCCCATGTACAACCTGGTGGAATCTGCTCTACCACATCTAGATCCTGCCTCAGCTTTCTTCTCCTGGGGGCCTCCAGATCTAGCAACCCGAGCCTGAAATCTGCAGGGCTAAGCCTGGTGTCTCACTAAGCACTGCTAACACAGACACTGTGTGGTTTGTGGCAATTGGACATCCTACCTTACAGCCATTCATTTCTGTGATGTATTTATTCATGAAGAATGCATGGGGTGCCCAAATATTTTCTTCTTTCCTGATACAAACCTCAGTGATTTTTTCTAGGCAAATATTGAAGGAAAAAGAATTTCAGCATCTGTACTTTTATATTTTGCTTCCTGGTTGAAGCTAGCTTTAATCTTTTCAATACATGCTCCAGTATTTTACTGAGCTTGTCAGTTCATTGGTGAGCTGCTATTACATTTTCCTGTTCCTACACTATTTTCATCCCCAGTAATATTCATGAGTAGAGAAGCCTTAATGTGCCTTATAAAGGCAAAAGTTTAGCCCCCAAGACTGAATACAGGCCAAGTAAAAAGCCAATTAACCTTCATTGGTAGTATAAAATAACTGCTTTCTCTCTTACCGTGCAAGGCGAGTAATGCTATGCTATTGAAAGAGATGTTCTACTAACTTGAAATAAGGATAAAATCTGCAACTGTTCTATTTAGAAATAACGCAGTCTGGGCTTTGTAGGCATTCCTTCCACCCCAGAGCACTCACGGCAGCTTGCTACGTGGTTATCCACAAGCTTGCTCCATCCACAGCTGGGCCAAGCTGTGCAGCTGAGGGAGCAGGCACTGACCTGAGGATGCGCTGACCCAGCAAGGCGAGAGGAGCTAAGGCAGAGCAGTGTTATCCTGCCTGCCTGCTTGGCTCTGTTCCTCCAGCTCAGCATCTCAAACGTTTTCAGAGCCAGATCCGATCCGCCGGCTGCTGCAGCCCTCTCGTGGTCACCTCAAAGACCGACCTTCCGCGTGGGAAAACGGCATGTCTTAAACAGCACAAAAAATAGTTAATAAATAACGTATTAAAGCGAGAATAAATATATAAATAAATGGAATAGGCACTTAGGATAGTATTTCCTCCAGGTGTACATGCAGGGATGCTGTTAAATGACTTGCTGTTCAAGAATCAAAAGAAAAATTACAGCTAAAGCATTAGGCAGCAGTGTTTTAATGGGGTGCCCTGTTTCATCTCCCTGGGCTGGCACTGAACAGCCTGCTTTGAAGTGCTCATTTTCTTTGAGCGTTTGTGCATTGATTTACAAAGACATGAGTAAATTTTCATCTCACTGATTTTTTTCTGAGCATCTGCTTACTGGAAATGCATCTATCTGCTCGGGAAACTGCGTGGAGGAGTGAAAGCCTAAGTGCTGTTGGGCTGGGGAAAATCTGGGGGAACCTAGCAAATAGGTGGTTCTTTGGAGCTTGAAAAGCCAGCCTGATATTTGGCATATATATTTTTCTTTTAATTTACTAGGGAGAAACAGAGACATTACTAACACCTGGAAATAAAGCATGGGAATTAACAGTGGAAGGAGGACACAGGAGCGTTGCTGAGAGCCTGTCCACCAGGCCAGCCATTTACTCCCTGCCCAGTGCTGTAAGCAAGCAAAGGAGGCAACTGTAGAATAAGATCAAAATGGAAAGTTTGTGCATAGGTACAGGGTACTCCAGAGGAGGCTGTCCAGTTGGGATTGGTATTTCTTAAGCTGACAACAAAGAAAGAGCCAAATCAATAGTACTTACAGACGAGGATGCCATGGTCCTTCCAGAGATTATGTTATGCTACCATTTTCGTACTGCTTTCCACTTTGATCCTTTTTTCCTTTTTCCCTCCATACAGTAGTTTCAGAGGAAATGTCTCTGAAAAGCATGGGCCCACCACTTTCTGGCTTAAACATGAAAAATCAGCTCATGGATATGAGCTCTGAACCTGCAGCTATTTCCCATCTGAGGTGATGCTTCTTGCCCTGACACCTATTTGCAATGGGGCCGGCAGGACCATGAGCCCCCTCTGCACATGTGCTCAGCCCACAGTCTGCCCAGCACCATGGCCCAAAATGCAGGGCGAGGTCTCCCTTTCCATCCGTCTGCTCTGGCAGCACCTTCTTCAGCCCTCTGAAAGGCTCAGAACCGTGCAGAAGTAGTCTCAACTTACCTGTGTGACCATCTTAAGCCCATGCATTGTATTTAAGTAATGTAGGTGCTGTGCTGCAGTCACCTATATGGGTAAAAAAATAGAAAAATGCAAAGTACTATTTTAACTAAACAGCCTCTTTGCTCTTCGTTTTCTCTAAGCTCACATATACAGAGCAAGATGTGACATTCTTCGGTTTAAAGAGGCTTTTATTTTACATGGAGAAAAACAGTAGTAAGAAAGTAACAAAATTAATACCTGCCTGAAAGAGCACAGGGCAAGTATTATCCTGTAATCCAGAGATTCTCCAAACAAAAAGGTGGAAAACTTTTTAAGACATGTCTATATGGCGAGACGCTGAGATGTTCAGGGTAGTAAATAGCTATGCTGATTTAAAAAATAATAATTTTGAAATAGCCTAGTGCAGAGCAGCGAGCAGCTCCAGTCAGGGTGCACTGAGGCACGTGTTTGGGGCAAAGCAGCGGGGACACCTTGGTGGTTTTGTCCAGGTGCAGTTGGAAGAAACGGGTGCATATGCAGCTGACATGGGGGCTGCAGCCTTCTCCTGGCACTTAGTCGCATGGACATGCCTTTAGGTATGTAAACATGCCGTCTGTATGGAAAACTGGAAATCCAGTTGAGAGAAGATGCATACCATTAAAGAAAACACCTTCCATGCAGGCTTTTAGTGAGATGCAGCTCTTTGCTTTCTGGAACATGTTCTCCTAAGGTTGGACTAGATTTCCAGGGGGAAATCCTGGCCCTGTTGACCTCAATGGGACAAAGAGCTCATCCTTGATGTCGCAGGCTGCTCCAGACTGGGAGCAGGAGGCTGAGCCCCACTTTCCTGCACACCCCCCTACAACCACCTCACCCAAAACCCACCCTGACTTGGCTTCTGCAGTTGGTCCAGACTCTAGGATTCAACTACGATCATGCTCAGGTTGTTGCAGAAAATGACCCTCCCGTCCTTCTTGCTGCTGCATTCGGGCTGGCAGAGAGCCTCTTGCAGACGCCTCCGCAGTGCCGGCGGGGCCGTGCCCAGGAAGTTTTTCGTCCCCGTCAGGAAATCCATCATTTGGCCTCCGGCTGGGTCCCCCTCGACAAAGCACTCGGTGATATCCCAGCCCGACGGGAACTCATGGACGCGGTACTGGATGCCGAGCCTCCTCAAAACAGCCGTGATGCCGTCGGAGGTGATGTAGTGGCCGCTGTCGGTTGAAGGCAAGCAGTGCCTGTACTTCTTCCACAAGCTGGCCCACCCGCTGCTGTCTGCAGAGCAGGAGGAGAGGTCAGTCCTACAACGCCAAGGCAGCTCAGCACCAGCCAGTGCAGAGACTGAATGGGGCTGAAATGCTCGCTGCTGGCACGGACCTTGCCAGGAGCAGTGGAAGGGCTTTCCCCTCACTTGAGTCCACTCATAAAGATGGGTAAAAACACGACCACCTGCAGCCCTCCCTCCAAAACTCTCCTGTTTCAGAGAAACTCCCAAGAGACCATCACCAGCATTGGGTTTGTAAGGACCAAGGAGTGCACACAACTATATCAGGGCACAGAGCCTGCACATGCACATTACTCCTTAAGTGCCTCTTTGATAGGATAGCACAGGCATTTTTATGCACTGAACCTCATTTTTAAGTGCACATCCAAAAGCATATACCTGAAAAAGTCTGTCCCAGCTAGCAAGAGAAACCAGTGTTCCAGCGGTGCTGGAGGGAGGTTTAATGTTGAACATGGGGGATTGTGTTTTGTCCACTATTCCATGAGCTGGGAACTCATGAATGGCACACCGGAAAAAACACTTTTTTTTTTTTTAAATAAGTATGATGAGTTTATAAGTGCCTCTTTTTCAAACCCCACAGCTCTGGGCAGCTCCCCTTGCTTGGCCTGCTGGGTTTTTAGCCATTGCTGTGCAAAGTGCCCCAGAGCTCAGGCTGTCTTTGCATGGTGTTCATTTCACCATAAACAAGGACTGGCTTTCCTCCAGGAGTAGCCACACTTCTCTCTAGCCAGTAATTTCACAGCAGGAAGCTTCTACAAGGTACGTAGTCATTCATCTACTTTTCATGCAGGGAAGCAAGAGCACACAGGTTATGTCTGTAGTCTCATCAGACACTGGGGTCCAAGAGACTAAGCCCATGGTTGCATGCTCCCTATACAATACGTTTGTTTCATTTAATTGTGATGGAATTACTGCTACTGAAATCCTGAGGCAATTACTCGTAGCTCTCATACTTCACAGCCCTTCAAAATACCAGCAATGATGCCAAAAAATGAGACACCCCTCTTACCTGACAAAATTATGATCAGGAGTTTACCCTGGTGGTCGAGGCAGCTGTGGAAAAACTTGATGGTATTAGGAATATCTTCCACACGGTACAGCATCTGGAAGGGAGAGTTGCATGCAGCTGTTACTCCTCCTGTGTGGTGCAAGAGCCCTGCAAGGGTTTAGGCCCTCTCTATAGAGCTGGTGCTTTACACGACTTCCCCGTCGCTTCCCGCCCAGCGCCGCCCTTCAGGCCCAGCAGTGTTGTGGCTGCAAGATGTGTGCATCCCTTTAATCACTTTTTAGGCAAGTTCTTCACTATCTTTGCTGACTTCCCACGGCCGAGGCCCCTGTGTGAGAGTGCAGATACAGATAGAGATGTTCACTGATATTTCCATTCAACGCCATCCAAATTATTCTGATTAGGTCAAAAAACTCTCCAGCTTTTTGAAGTGGCAAAGCATAATTGTTGGTCTCTGTGTGATGTTTTACGTGTCTGTCCAACAGTCCTGTTTCATTACCCACCATACAGTTAAACCCGTGAAAACCAGAGACCAAAACCTGGGTGGATCAGGAATGAGGTTTAATATTTGTACAGCTGCTGCAGAAGCTGTTGTTTGCTGGAGAACTGTGTTCATCCCCAGTCCCCCCAACATCCAGCAGAAGGTAGTGCTGAAATGTAATACTTCTATATTAAAAAAATACTTCCTTACCTGAATCATATGTATGAAGTCAAATTTCTTGTTTATGCATTTCTCTTTCACCTGTTGTTCATACTCTGAGGAAGTGAGCTGGTGCCAAATAAAGGAGACACCCTGCAGATCTGGAGCTTGATTAACTAGCTCTGTTTAAAAAGTAGGAGAAAAAAAAATGCAGAACAAATCATCACACAAATCAACGGTACTGGCTGTACCCCAGGCTGTGGAAGTGGCCCAAAGAGCCTCACCTTTGTAAGCAGCCACGTGCTGTGGGTTGGGCTCTACGATTTCGTTGTTAATAAGGACCCCTGGATGTGCAGCCTGCAGGATCCTGAGCATTTTCAAATCCTGTTCGCCTATTCAATAAACACAAATTCATTATTAAAAAAAAAAAAAACACTTGAATGGTGATGAAAGGATGCCAGTGCACCTGCTGCTCGGAAATCCCCAAAGCAGAAGTGAGGCACTTTTTACCTTGCATGGTGGCATCTCAGACAGTAACAGCCTTATCACGATGTCTAACTGCTCGAGTTAACATGCACTTAGAGATAAGACTAAGAACAAGGAAGAGATAAGCAACTGAGCAGAAACCTACTAATGGCAATACTCTGGGTCATGGGAGAAACAGGTTGAAATAATCAAAGATCAATGTTTAAAAAATAACAGGAATCATTAGTTTTCAAGAAAACCACAAAGTTAGCATGGGGACAGGGAGAGATTTGGCACAGCTGTGCAGCTTTGCCATTGGCACTGCCCCAGGGAGGTGGCAGCTGCCTTGCCAGAGGTGTGACCCTGCTTGGAGCCCTGGGGGGTCTGCAAAGGGTCTGTCCTCTCAGGAGCCAGGCCACATGGTGCCAGCTCTAGGAACCCATTACCCAGTTGTTATCTTGGAGCCGCAAATATTCACTTATCTGTGGCTTCAGCATCATGTAGGTGCCCTGCATATTTAGCTCAGGAGGAGCAAGCTTCAGTCTGTCTTTCTGTCCTAGAAAATACCCAGCCCCTTTCGAGGTGATGCAGGTTGCCCTTGCTCTCTATCAGAAAGGCTGTGATGCACCAAGTGTACAAAGCCCATCTGGTTTGTTTGGGACTATGGAAATAAACAACAGAGGTGACAGCCTTCAGTGGATCTCTGCGAGGATCCTGTCTGTAGCTGATGGTGGAGCCTAAAAATAGTCCTGCCCACGAAAATGTCACACACAGAGGGCTTGACATGAGATACTGCATCTTCTCTAGCCTTTTAGTGGATGGACATGTTATGAGGAAAGCTGTCATCTTTGACAGGTGTTACATTAAACAGAACTCAAGGAGGGAAATACCAGCCATGCCAGCCACTGCGCTGCCATCCAAGGAAGGACGTGTCTTTTGAAATTGGAGAAAGGTACCCAGCACCCCGGAGACACGTGGCAGGGGCAGTGCAGGGCTGGCCAGAGGCACAAGGAAAGAGGCTGAGGCTGCATCCATTGAAGGCAGTTTCATTGCTGGCACTGGTTTTACGGGTGAGCTGGGGCAGAGGAGTTCCTACTCTGAAACTCTGTGTTTTACTGTGTGTTTTTGCTGATGTACTGCCAAGGGCATTATCAGCTGCTAATTCAAAGACTGGATTACAGAACTTTACAGAGTTAAAAACAAAACAAAACAAAAACATTAAAAAAAAATCACTTTTAAAATACCCCTTTGCTGCTGAAATGCACTTCTGCCACCATCAGAGGCTCCAGGGCATGGGGCAGCAATGCTCTGTGTGGGGAGCTCACATTTGGGAACCGCTGATTGCTGATGCTCCCCAGCCCAAGGCACTACCAGCTGGCCTTTAGGACTATAAATTGATTCAACCACTTGCTGCAAGGATCTTCCTTGAATGAATGGTTACATAAAAATCTTTTTTTTTTTTTCCTTTTCTTTCTTTGCATGGTCACCACCTTCCTACAGGTTGGATGTTTTTGTTGGTGGAGGCAGGTGGGAGCTGCTGGCTTGAATTTGAAGCAAAGATGCTGAAAACCTTGAAAGTCTGTGGGTAAGACAACAATTTCACATGCTCTGTGAGGTCAAACAGGACATTCCCAAGATCTCCCCACAAAAAAGAAAAGACAGGACTCAAAAGGTGCAATAAAATGCAAAGATGTTCCCTGGGGATTCACCATTTGACGCTGCTCAGGTTTCCCCATCCCCAGGCTCACGTGCCTCCTGCAGAAAACCAGGGAAGCTGAGAGCAACAACCCTTCAGCACAAACCACATCGGGGCACTGCTGATATGGGGGCGCAGCCCCACAGCAGCCACGTCCCATCCGATCACTCGTTGGGAGCTGACGGCCAAGGGAAGAAGGGCTGAATGAGCAAGCGTGGCCAGGACCAAGCAGCAGCCTTTTAGGATGCAGAGCGGGTCACAATCCCCATTAATAGTTCAGTCAACTAAACTGATTTCGGCCGTGTGAAACCAGAGTCCAAGCCCGAGAAGGTCAGGGATCACACATGACCTTTCGCTCGGTGCCACGCTGGCTCACTCCCGTGCAGCACGCACAAGTTCAGCTCAGGCAGCCTCGGCACGCTGCAGGGTGCGAGCCTGTGCCCCTGCCAGCCTGCCTTAGGGCTTTTCTTTCCCATTGAAACTTCTTCTGAAGAGGAAATAAGGAAAAACGAGGGCAGTGTAAAGGGTTCCCCTTTCCCTTGTGCTTTCTTGGAGTCAAACAGAGTATCGGTTTTACATTACTTAATGAGAACGGACTGTAATTGAGAACTGAATGATTCCTTCCTCCTCGCTCTCTTATATGCTCCAACATATTCCCAGCTGGAGAAAACAATCACTGCTATTTTCCTCTTACTCAGGAAAACAATCAAAACAAGTGAGAAAAAAAATCTTTCAATAGAAAGTATTAACACTTATAATTCAGTTGAAAATACTTTAAAACAAATTCAAAGTCTGACAAATCAAACTGCTATTTCTTTTCTCTATTTTGTATTTCCTCCCAGTTTCCCTAGGAGCAAAGCTGCATGCTTTTTTTTTTTTTTTTTACAGCTTTAAGGTTATTTCTGCCAAAAGATTTTTCTTCTCCGGGGGAGGTGGAGGAAATACCATTTGCAGTAAAACGCCACTTGTCACCGGATAAAAACAATAATCACTTCTAAAAAGCACATCTTGAAGGAGCTGACAAAGCCCCCTGCTAATGGCTGTGGCCAGCCCACGTTCATCTCTGCTGGTTAAGCACCACCTGCAGCCAAACAAAGCCCAGCTTTCACCTCTGCAGACCCTGAAGGCAATGCACAATGTGGGGAGGTGCCTTTGGGTGGGAGACTCTAAAGCATGACCTTTTGGGTGGAACAAATCCCAGGTGTCTGCAATTCCTTCCGATGAGGTTTGAAGGTGCTCTCCTACCTAACCTGGAGGACTCCTTGCTTTTAGATATATATAGTCAGGAGAAAGTCATCAAGAGGAAGGTATTTCCATGACAAATACTGTTATTAATGCTTGAGTAATTGAGCTTTCCCTTGCCCCTGGGGACCCCCACCCCCAGCATCAGCCGTGCTGTTCAGCTCCTTACCTGTGCCGCTCCCCACGCCCAGAACATTTATCGTGGATTTTCCATTGCCGAGGCTGAAATTACAAGTACACGTTACTCAACCACACCGCGTCACACAACTCTGTGTTTTAATTCCAATATCCCAGATGCCATGTTGGTCCAGGAATTTTACTGATACATGCCACACGAATTGAGATGAAAATTCGAGCATCCCTGTGGAGCCCAGCTATAACTTATTTTTGGCAGGATCTGGCCTTGTGTAAGCAGGCTCATATTTTAAAAGTACAGTAGGCAGCAGGATATAATGTTTCTGTTCCCTTGCCAGAGTTTTCTTCAAGCTGTGGCTGGCACCATGCAAAACAACCTCAAGAAAACCTGGGGTGTGGGGTTCCCTTTGCAGGGAGTGAGGCTGTGCTTGGCCAGGGCTGTAGGGACAAAGTGAGCTGGGGTAAACCTCTTTGTCCTCAGGACAAAGTCAGGTTTTCTGACATTGGCTATAAATGCTCAGAAAAAAATAAAAAGTTGGGCTATCCATGTGACTGTAAATATTCTCTTTTCAATATTCACTTTGGCTTGAAATTGGGAGCAAAGGCCAGAAACTTCAATAATTTTTACCTTAGAAAAACTACTTCAGATCCAAAAATAAAAAATAAAAAATAAAAAATAAAAAATAAAAAATAAAATCATGAGGTTGTTGGCAGTGTATTTCATAATAGCCTGGCTCAAGGATGAGCTTCCTGGGATCAAGGCTGCTTGCTGCTCTACATGGAAGTACTTCGTGGCCTTGTTCTGCCTCAGGCATGGCCTGCGCAGAGGGACAGTTTCCCGTATGAAATCTCAAGAGACACCACAGCAATGATTCAAAAGAGGGGACAGAGCTGGAAATCCTGGGGGCTGTGAGCAAGTCAGGGAGCCTTGGCTCTAGTGAGGGCTGGAGGTGTATTGTTCCAGGATTAAAGATGTCACGGGTGGAAGATGGAAGCTCAGACCAACCCCAAATTAGAATGCTACTAAACTGCAATGTTTTGTATTGGTCCAGCAAACAATATTGGTTAAAATTCACATAAAGAAATGCTGCGTTTAAATCTTCCCCAAACAATTTCTTTCTTTATTATTGCTTCTATTACTTTAGATAGCTGGCTAGAGAGACAGACAGATATAGATATAAGCATCCGAAGTCACCTGCCTAAGTGTTTTTCTCAAAGGAGAATACAGTTTCTACAGCATCCAAAAATTATCCAGACTTGAAAGACTTTTCTTGTGGTTTGGATCTAGCCTGTTCTGAAACTATCTGCAGTCACACAGGCTTAATATGTTACATCAGTACTTCACAAAACTGATTATCATTTGGTACTTAAGCAATGCAAATCGACTTAGGATAGAAATAAGGAGGTCTTAGGGGATTGAGAAAAGCAAGAATTAGTCACTAGAATAGAATTAGAGATGTGTTTCTGTTTGGACTGATGTGTGATGAAGTCCCAAAAGCAGGCATAGAGCACAAGAGGGAGCTTTCTTTTGAAGAAAAAAAAAAAAAAGGAGGGGGAGAAAAAAAAATCCAAAAATCGTTAATCCTTTGAAAATCAGCTAATGAAAGCAGATGGACATGAAAAGAGGGTCTTGATTCTTTCCCTAACATAAGCTGAGAAGCAACACAATGTATTAATTGAAATTACGTGTATACTTGAGACATTAAACTGAATATCCTAACGACCACTATTAAGGGACTTAAAACTGAAAAGCGTTGAAAGTTCATTCACGCCCCAGCAAACCCTTAAACATGTTTGCTGACCCTTATGCACAGGTTGCCCTCCCCAGATAACAGATGGCTTTCACTTTTCAGTGGATGCGCTCCTTACCCTGCCATGATGCGAGGCATTTCTTCCTTGTTGAACTCATCCATGCACTGGTGCTCCGTCGAATGATCCAAAAATGACTTAAAGGCCTCTACATACTCCTCAGCCGTGAGACTTCTCATGGAGGGGACCACATATAGCTCTTGAGAAACAAATATGAATTGTGTGTTAGTGACTTCAAGGCAAATAAAGGATCGAAACACTTACCTCGTGGAAGAAACCAAACCAAACCCAGCCCAACCCAACAGAAGCCAGAGATTCGGGAGGACACGGAGCCCAGGAGCCATCCATGCAAGTGGGCTCATGTGAAAACTTTCTGTCTGTTGACACTAAAGGTGTGAAAAATATTCTTTGATGCCCCTTGACACCAGTATATTTTTTAAGTCACCATCAGTACCGCAGGTTGCCCTGAGGAAAATGGCCCCATTATTTCCTGAAGATGCTTAGCTGGATACAACTCAATTTGCGGAAAGTGGCTGAAGTACTAAAGGCAAAGAATGAGAAGGCAATTGCTCAGCAAGTCCAGACCTGGAAGGGCTGTGGCTCTTGCACATGCTGGACAGCGTAAATGAAACCGCCAGCTGCTGGCACACTTGCTATTGGGGTGATGCAACACAAAAACGCACACCTGCAGCTGAAGCAAAAATAGTTAACGCCGTGCGCCTCATTTCCAACTCTCATTGGCGTGGGACAGCCGTGCTCTGCCGGGTAAGTGAATTCCCTGCTGGAAGTTTCAGCTCGTGGCCATGAGGGCAGATGGCAGCATTTCAGCTGAATGGGTTCATTCTCAAGTGCAGGCCACCAAGACTAAGATTTGCAGCTCTGAACAAAGGCCCAGGGCAACTCAAGAAGATGGAGGCAATTACCGCAAAAACACAATTTCTTGCAGTCTCATCCTAACAACGGTGCTCCTGCCAGGGCACAAGCTCTGGCCAGCTGCTTGGGTCTGAGGAGCAATGCTAAGACTAGGACTTGAGGCTCACCAGAATTTGCCATTCAGCTGACTGCTGTCTGTGGGGACTACTGCAGACAGAAGACTGCAATAGGGATTTAGTGCTAGTGCCAGCCTCAACATCTGAGATGGGCGTTAAAAACGTAGTGTTCAGAAAGAAAAAACAGAACAACAACAAAAAAAAAACAACACCAGCTTTTCCTCCTAAACAAAATTGGAATGAAGGACAGGATGGGATTCAGCAGAGCATCTTCATCCTCATTTTTGCCTTTTGAGGAGTTGCTTATTGAAATTCTGCTTTTAGTTGCTACTGATAAAAAGACTTTGTATGTGTCATACAGGACTGTGCAATCTTAACTGGACACCTATGCTCTTTCCAAAACCACATGTCCCTGACTGCTGTTTTTCTGCAAGGTATGAATGGTGATCCAATGTCTAGCCCTATTGGAGGAAAAGGTATCAATATCTAACCTCAGCACTTTAAACTATACCCTAGTGTATATCGGACATCCCCTGAACTGTATTCAGTGTAGTATCCTGTTTTTTTTTTATTTCTTGTTTGTTTTTTTAACAACTTCCAACTCTGTTTCCAAAACAAGATATATTTGTAGTGATAGCAAGTGGAGTGGGTAGTTTACTTTCATCTCCTTTTCGGTTTTTGATTTTTCTCCCAAATACCTGAATTATCGTGTGGAGCTGCCAGAATCTCTGCTTCAAAGTTCATGCTGGGGAACCTATTCCTGTAAGGAAAGTATAGCACTTCAGTTATTTGAAGAACCTGTACGCTTTTATGAAGCTGCATTTAAAAATGCAGAACAAAAGGAAGATACTCCAGGACAAATCGTCCTTGCTCAATAATCAATAGTGTCTGTGTTCTTTTACTAAAATAAAGTCAGAACTTCTTGGTTAGCTGATCACCCAGAAGTGTCACCGATGGAGTGGCCACCTGCACCACTGCTTGTCTGAGATGTGCCGTGGAAGCTTTTTCTCCCTCTGAAGAATCATTAACCAGTCAATACGGTGGAAGGCATTAGATTAACTGATATTACACACTCTGTGAAGCCTTTAATCATGAATGGAGTAGAAGAAGTAACAGTGAAATTAGGAAAAGGCTATAGTGAGCTTCAGCATCTGAAGTGCATTGATTGGCCCAATGTTTCAGTGTTTGTTTTGCTTTTGTTTTTTAACTTCAGGTGTTCCTGGATGCAAATGTTACTTGGGTGAATATTAGAAGACATAGGATTCAAAGAGCAAAAGGCAAAGAAGTCATTGTACCACTACTATTTTAATTCAGGTATTGTTTTCATTCTTAATATAGGTTTTTGATTATTTTTTGTGTGTGTGAAGATTTCCAGCAATGAAGTCACATCTTCATTTTCCTATGATAACGTGCCACATCTATGAAATAGGGATGAGACACCATTTCAGGAAGGTATGAAATGAAATTGAAGACCTCGTTTCTACAAAGAAAGTTTTAACATGAAGCTACCTATGCAAAGTCATCTTCTACTTAGGAGTGATATTCCTGTATAAGCTCAGTTTAGCCATATTACTGCTCCCAAAGCTTTGTCATTACAAAATGCTTCATGGCAAACAGTCTGCAAAAGCGGTAAGCAGCCCTCAACTCCCCTCTGCCAGGGAAAAGCTCTCACATGAGTAGGAAACAAGCCAGGAGGTGGGAAAGAAAAACGGGAGTCTTAGAGTGGAGGCTTTGGACCACAAATACACAATGACTGTGCTAGCAGGTAGCATGGAAATGGGCATGTGCAAATAATGCACTGATTTGGTGAATGAAGAAGAAACTAAGGTGTCCCAGAGTACTTGGAGATGCTGGGGCAGTGCCAGAGTTCTTCAAGAACAGTCCATTTCATGAGTTCATGGCCAAAATCCTGTAGAAAGAGCTCCCCTGACTCCCAAGAGGCAGATCAAGGGTCTCAGTTCTACCATCTTGATCTCAAATCTCCCAGAAAAGGCCTTGCAAAAGTTCAGCAGTAATGAGCCTGAACTCATCCTCCCTCCATGAGCTCCAGCTTGGCTGCAGGCCAGTCCCTCAAATTTCCACTCAACCCTCTGACCTCATCCGTCTCTGCCTGTCAAAAGAGAGGACTCTTTTGCCCTCTCTGCTGGCTGAACCGAGCAAGATGGTTTTCAGAATAAATCTCCCACTAAAATGCTGAGAGGTGGCATGGTACCCCCTGCACGGAGATGGTCCGGGGACACGTACTCCATTTCTGACCGGTCAAATGTTTCCAGCCATCCCAGGAGACCTGCCAGGTGGCCTGGACAGACTGTGCAGCACAAGTATTCACCAAGAAGGATGATGCCAAGTTAATTCTTCCACTGAGGTTTTCGGTGTTTCTCCCCGGGCAGGGTTTCTAAAACTGCTTAATTCTTGTTGCTGGTAAGGTGGAACAGCCTTACTTATCACTGGGGATAAATGGACATTCTCCATTTTCTGGACACACAGATTAAAAGTAGACTTGACTGTAACAATTTGGGCTGGAGCTGCCCATCCCATGGCTAGTCCAGGCCTCCGAAACCTACCGGGAGCACTGAGCACAGCAGCCAAAGGCTCCCTCTGGCAGCAGTGTAGGCAGAGGCACAAGGAGCCTCCTGCTCCTGCCTCCCTGGAGGCTGACTGAAACCCCAAACCACGAGCCCTGAATCTCTCTAATTCCACCACCACTAAACACAGAGAATCTCTCCACAAAGCCCCCATCCCTCCCAGGACATGAGCATACGTGCTTTCATTCCCAAATCACACACGTCCCCATGCACGGGGACACCCTTCCCAAACCCACATACCTCTTCATTTCGGGGGCCGGCTCCATGGCTGGGGCTGGAGTTGGGGTCTCTCCTCCGCCTGGCTGCACGTGTGTGGTGGCAGCACCGTGTGTGGGTGCCTGGATTCGGGTACCCTAGGTGAGCATTGCCACCGGTGTCCTGCTCTGCACCAGCCGCTCGCTCAGCCTGCGGGGACGCTGGCGGTGGCCTCTTGCCGGCACCTGTCAGGACAGACAGTGTCACTCGAGTGAAAATTGGAAACCCGAGCCCCGTGTGAGCAGTGACGTCCCCGGTGCCATCCTCCCTCACAGGGGATGACAGGGGAAACGCTTTGGCAAGGAGCAGTGCTGTTTTTAAGAGGGAAAAAAGGGACAGATTGAGGCCTTTACAACTCCAGTGGAAGTGGCTGAGGGACATCAGCCTCTACCAAGCAGACCAAGCAGGGGCTATTTTATGCATTTTTTAATTTGCTTTGAACTCTGCCTCTCCTTCGTGCTGGCTGCCCCAGCCCTGCCGTGCCTCCCAATGCCAGCCCCAGAGAGGGGGCACAGGGCAGGAGCAGGGTCATGGGGACATGGGGAGGGGATGCTGGGTGGCCAGGGGGGCTTGCTAAACCACAAGACCCTCTCCCTGAGCTAGTGGCAGAAGGCACATAAATCCTGCTCGCTTTCTCAGCGTTCACCCCAAAAGCCCTGCCTGCCCCACCCCGAGGCACTGCGCTCAGCAGGCCGGGCACCCCACAGCCTTACCTGCCCGGAGCACCAGGGAACTGTGGAGAAACCTCCAGCGTCTGGGAGCTGCAGGGTGCTCAGAAAGCTCCCTGTGGGATCACTGGAGGCTAATCCACCCCGTGCCCGCCCCATCACCCCCCTGCCTGCCGCCAAGCCGCCAGCATTAGCGCACAGCAGCGGCCTTTGTTCCACGGCACAGGGGACAAGGGCGCCTTGTGCACAGCCCTGCTGCACCGCCAGCCCTCAGAGGAGCCACAGCTTTGGGGGCTGGACCCTTGGCACGCTGTGCTTTTGGGTGTTTTGGCAAGCTCCTGACTAAATCCGGGCTGAACTGCGTGTTTCGTGCAAGCAGAAGGGTTGGGGTTTGGGCTCTGAGGGTTGCAGGGGGATAATGACTAAAGCTAAGGGCAGCCTGCTGGGAAAAAAAAAAAGGGGCACTGTTTCCCTACAGGCTGCAGCCAGTGTGGGAGCTGCTGGCCCTGCAGGAATAGTTCAGCCACTGTTCCTTAGGATTTGATGTCACCCACAGTGTGCCATGCCCCTGCAATGTCCCATTCTCCATCTTCTTCAGATTCAATTGGGATGCAATGGGACAGGTGGCTGGGGATGCAGGGAGCATGGTTTGGGCACATCTTCCTCATGTGCCTGCTCCCGGTGCCCTTGCAGCTTGTGGATTCAGTTTGGGACTGACTGATGATAGAAAATAGGGTTTAGGTAATCTGTGCTTTGTTCCAATCCAGGTCAAGCACATACACCTGGATTGCACCGCTCCATAGAAAATGTGCTGGGCAACAGCTCTACCCAGAAAAAAAAATAATAATAAAAAAAAAAACTTTTTTAAATCCCAGTTTTCTATGCCCTCTTGCTTACCAAACATTTCCACCTGGGACTTTTTGATATTCTGCTGTTGCTGTTGTTGTTTAGAACCGTGAAGATTTAAAAAAGAATAAATCATAATCTGGCCAATTTCACTTTGGTGAGTACATGGAATTTCAATGAATTTATCTTCTAACATTTGCCAGAGATCAGCTTTTAGGATGCTGAATGTCAGGAAGGCTCTCAGCATTTTTACAGAGCTCCTCGTGGTATTTTTAGCCTATTTTTAAAAATCTCTTAACTCTGTTTGGAACAATTGATTAAGGTCCATGTAAATGCAGCTTTTATTTTATTATGAGCAGAGCTCTTTTCTTCCTTAGCAGTTCTTTTGTTTTGTTTTGTTTTGTTTTTTTAATGGAAGTGTTTTCATCAGGTAGATATTTTCTGTTTTCTAGACAAAATTTCTAAGGTAAACCCTTCAGTTTTTGTACCTAAGTGAAGGTGCACACATTATTCTACATTACGCAAGATCTGGTGCAGAGTAAGATAATTAGCAATTCTGTAGTTAATAACAAGATTTCTCATTATGGAATAAGTTTTATTTTGCTCTAATCCTATTAAATATTTAGCAGATTCCAGGTAGAATCAAATCTTGGAGTTTAAAATTCAGTATATGCGTGTGCAGTTTTTTTCCTATGGGGAAAAAAATATGACTTCTGATAAGCACTGAAAAAGCAAAAGAAATACTGGTTGTAAGAGGCAGTTATCATAATCCACCTGGGCCCTTGGGGCAGTACAGAGCCCTGAGCTTGAGCAAGAACCCATCAGGTTCTGTCTGAGTTAAAACCTGTATTTTTGGGAGATACCCAAACTGGATTTAAACCTCGATTAGGACCACAGTTAGATTTTAGTTTCAGTATTTTCCTCGTTCAAGGAAACACATCAATTTTTTTCTAACACAGCCCTTCCTGCCTTTTCATTAAAGTCTGGCTGCTGGTGCAGTTCTTCCAGAGCTTTTAAAAAACCTTTTTTCAGACTGTTTGACTAGAGGTCATATCTCATGTAGATGTAATTATAGAGCTAAGGCAAGGGCAGAGGGGGAGTCTAATGTGACCGCCTCCAAAAAGGATATTTGATTCAAGGTGAAGACCAGCTGTTGCTCTACAGACCATAAAGCATTTAAAGAATATATCTCTGAGAGCAGAGGCAGTCATGGTGAAGTGTGCCTTTTACCCTCAGTACCTCACAGGTCTTCAACGGGGAAAATATGCTCATAATTTTGATTTTCCACGGCTGTACTTGTGCTGCTGCCAGCCTGAAGCAGCTGGAGACTGGGGAAGGGGCTGCTCACAGTGCCCCAAAGAGGGGCGCTTTCAAACACCAGTGTACAGATGTATAAAATGTATACAGTATAAAAAGTATAAATATGGCACATTTATGGGAAGTTGGAGCTTTTATTGCTGTATCACTGAAATACAACGCATCTGGGAGCTGTGTCTCAGCCCAGCATTTCTGATACAGGTACAGCAATGTGCTGCATCGTTTGGCAGGTTGCAAGGCATTAAGAAGCAGGGGAGAAAATGTCCTCATGAAAGGTCTCATGGATTTATTTTGGCGAACAAGAGCGACCTGCAGCCACTAGATGGTGGTGCAAGGACACTTTTCTGCTCTTCCTCTTCCCCTCGGCTCTTCCTTGGCAGTGCTTGAGGCGGCCTTTCCCAGTAACAGGGGCTGCTGTGGGCTTTGCTTTTTTCTTTTTCACTTTTTGCTTTTTTTTCTTCACTGACAGAGGTCATTTGGAAACACATCACTTGCTGCCTTCCCATCCTGTGTAAAGCAGGGCTCAGGCACCAGCTCCGACGTGCTTACTGCTGGCAGAGTATTTTTCTCTGCGTCACGGCTCAGCACCGGGAAGGGCAGAGGACTTGGCTTTCAGTTTGCGGATTAGCCTTCTTTTATAGGCTGAGGAAAGGAAAAGTACTTTATATTGAACACAGTGGGGGAAAAAAGGGTTGTCAGGAAAGAGGTAATCTCTGAAAATGGCCATACTTCGGAACATTTACCATGGAAGAAAAGTCAGGAGATTTTCCTCAGGCTCAGCAGTCAAATCTCCAGGCAATTTTTTCCTCCTCCTGTGAGACTGGCGTTTGCCCTATGAATAAGAAAAGAAACATGGTCAGAAAGACTGGTTTGGCAGCGGCACAGGCAGAGTCAGCCCTGGTCTGTAGGGCACATTTGGGATACGGGGACACGCAGTGCACGAGGGCCCCTACATGCACCAGCCCTGGCCTTGGGCTGCTGCACCGAGCACCCAGCATTGGGATGTTGGAGCTCTCGTTAATTCCCAGCTCCCAGAGTCAGGTGAATGGGAAAAAGCTCTCCTAGCATGTTTTTAATGGTAAATTTCCAGCCAGTGGGATATGATGGGGCACCCTAAAGATGACTCGTAGAATCCTGGGACCATAGAAAAGCTCGCGTTGGAAGAGACCTCAGGAACCACCCGGATGCTTTGAAAGAAGTCCAGGCACAGGTTCATTTAAAGGCAATTTCGTGAAAGCTTTCGGCAGCTGGTGAGTAGGGGAAGGGGAAGGGGAGTCAGAGTGCCTCGGGCTGAAAAATCAGCTCCGACAGGGAGTCTGAGAGAAAAGGCTTTGGTAAGTACCCTAAAAGCAAAATAATCTTGTATCAGAATGATAAATCTAGAAGACTGGGAGAAGCATTCACATATTTAAGTGACGAACTGTCCTTCTTACCCACTGTGCCTAAAGCACGCAGATAAAGCCATCAGTTCAGAGCAAGCCACGATTTCAGAACTGGGGGGCAGAAGGAGAGGAAACTGCTTTGTATTTCAAATCGCTTCTCCATGAGCTGCTAAAAATTGATTGCTGGGTTTCATTAAAAAGAAAAAGAAGTGCTGCTGCTTTTTTGGGGCTCCCCACTACCCCATGCCACCCCTAGCCCGTCCCTTGGGTGCCGCAGGTGAGTCCTGTATGGAGCTACCTGCGGCTCCAGCAGGGAGAGACTGTGTGAATTACAGAAATGGCTGAGAAACTTGTAATTGTGGGAGTAGGCTTCATGGAGAATATCCCTGCAGCACAGGAGCTGCAAGCCCCCAGCAAAATACTTTTCCTTTTCCTCCCTGCCTCCTGACAGCTCCCCTTTTGCTACCTGGGATTATTGGTTTCTGGGAGCAGAATCTGTGTTTTCTGGGGTATTTGTGCTTTATTTCATCTCAAGATTTACTGCTCTTTGGGAAGGCAGGCAGATATCCATTCCCCAGACATCACCTGTGTCCCAGTCCTACCAAAACTCTTGCTTGTTTTCTACTTACAATTTGATTTTCACTGGAATCTCAAGTAAAGACTGAATAGACTGGTTTAAAGAGCTTCCGAATGAGGTGGCAAGGATACAGAGGATAATAAGATAACCTAGAAAGGATCAGAAGTAGAAGAGATAACAGAGTTGAAGAGGCACTCACTGCCAGTCCTAGCACTAAGGATGCAACCAGAGCCAAAATGGTCTTCGGTGCTCACTCTCTGGTGCTCTTTGTACTCATGGTACAGCTTAGAGACTTCAGCAATGTTGTTTAAACACGTCTTTGAAGCAATGTCAAACTATTAATATATATACTTAGTAGAGGCAAATTTGCCTTTGTGGGCACCGACACAACAACACGCCATGATGTCCTGGCCCCCTCCACATGTCCTTGCTCTCCCACCCAGCCTCAAAATCTCATTTCCTTTTCCCCAAGCAGTTTTTGAGCTGATTCCCCCAGCAGGGGCATGACCACTGAACTGGGAGGTGGCGTAGAGCCCAGGCAGGTGTGACAGATCATGGCAGGACCAGCACCAAATGTTTCAGGAAAATCAGTGCTCAGCTCTGGCACCTGCTCCTTAAATATTCGTGGGTGAGCTTTCCTATAGTGAGGATGTTTTCCATCTCATTTTCTAGTATCAGGTATAGTGAGAAAAATTAAAATTCAGATTTTGTTACCAACACTTTAATTATCCAGTGTTATCAAGTTGTCACCAGGCCTTTAATTATTTTTCAGTTTATACCTATGATTGCTTTAGTGACATTAAGGTAGATCTGCAGCTGTAATAGGAAATGTCTGAGTTCTTTATAATGCTGAGGATTGGAAATGATGAAATTAATAAAATTCACTCATCTCCTGTGCCATGAGCTATCAGCAATACAGTCTTCATCTGCAGTTGGCATGCTATTTAATTACGCCCTTTTGGTACCAATAAACACTTAATAATATATTCAAAATGAGTTAACAGGATATAATGCTGTCCGTGATTTTGCATCTACTTAGAGATTGGGCACAATACCATAAAGCCTCACTGCCAAAGCAGTGGACTTTGCATTTTGGACACAGGCGTGATGCGGGGAGGTTATTTGTGTGCAGGATGTGTGTGCTCAAAGCACCTGTAGCACTCTGGAGGTGCAGCAGAGGTTTCACACCTGATTAACACCATTTCTGTATCGTTACCGTTGTTTACAGATGTTGTAACTTTTACCAGGCCAGGCAATTTTGACTCAGCAGAATATGATGCAAAGAATGAAACTTTGATTACAATGATGAAGCTGGTATGGGAACTCTTACAAACCTTGCTATAACAGCAAAATAAGGAAATCATGTCCTGTTTTACACCATATTTGAGCATCTTAAAGATAAACCAAAGAGCAAAAAGGCTCAAGCATTCAGCATCTCTTGCCTGATGGCTCACCACCACCACCCAGCTTGCCTGTCCCGCTGGAGGTGGTGACCGTCCCCTCTGCTGCTTGGCTCACAACTGGTTCCCCCCAAAAACAACTGTGCTGCACAGATGTGTATCATTAGTGCCTGAACCAGAACTAACTTCTCAGAAAATTGTACTTATTGCAGGACAAATTGAGTCTGCTATGGTAGAAGCCAGAATAATTGCTCAGGGGACCACGGGGCTTATCCAGCAGTTAATTCATTATTTGTACCTGCTCGGAGCCAGGATAGAAACAGCAGGCAAGGCGGCAGCAAACAAAGTACAAACTCCAGTGTCTCAGGATGAATTTGTTCAGATAAAGGCTTATTGCCATCACGGCAAGGTTGCAAAACACCTCTACAAGCACTTACCGGTGGGAAAAAATAAGAGACGGGAGCTGTTTCACCACAGTCCTTTAGTTTTGTGATGAGATATGCGAGCTCTCTTTTCCTATAGCCATGACTTGAACGCAATGAATGCTGTGTTTGGGGCTGTGCTGTGCCTTCGTGGGCACCCCAAAGTCAGGGCCTGGAGGGGGAACACAGCTTTACTCAATTTGTACTTTTTAAATACTAAAGTACTTTTTAAATACTAAAAATATCCTATTTGGGTGAATAGTCTTACACTCATGTTGTCTTAATACTCATTTTTGCTTATCAAATCTACCATTGCTTAATGATTTTGTAGATCTTCCCTACCCAATGCAAGTATGGGAGAGTGTCTTTTTTGTTTTGTTTTGTTTTTATTTCAGGAGGGAGAATAAGTTAGTTAACATAATCTTGGGTAGATTTATGGTATTTGTTCTGCACCTTTACACAGCCATTTTTACCAAAGCAAGTGATAATTAATCTGATTGTCCCCTGTGTATTTATAAGCATAGTGCAGATGCAGTCATTTTTCTCTCCTCTGAAAACAAATACCTCCCACGTGGAAAAGCAGTTACCATAAAGAGAAAGCATTTGACTCCATCAGGGCACCCGCACTGCACTCTATTAGCACAGCCACTTTTCCATCAGTGACCAAACAGAACAGAAACAAATGGAATATGGGCTCAGGAAGCTCGCTGGTCAGAGAAACACCTGCTTGAGAACAAACCCAACAAACCCGACCCGCACCACCACCGCCACCAGAGCAGAACCACCACGAGGTTTCCCAGATTTGGGGAGGCCCCGGGCCAGCCCTCCAGGTGCTGTGAGACAAGAGCTGGCTTTCAGCCGGGAAGCAAAGTGCGCTCCCCACGTGGGCAGGATGTGCTCCCCCTGAAGAGGTTTCCCATCTAGGTCCATTTGTGAAATTGGCCATCTGATGAAGAAATTTAGAGGCCATGCCCTGTTCCCATAGCTGGGCAGCACCAACATTTTGGGAAATGGAGCTGCCGGACCCAAGCGCGCCGCTGCATCTTCATTCAAGCGCCTATTTAATATGCATCATGTTATGGGGGGATGTTTTTATGTAGGGAAAAACACAAGTGCTCTCACGAAATGACTCAAGGGCAATAAAGCATAGATTGTCTTTAAACCTGTATAAAGGATGCTGAAGTCACAAACAAGGCATAAAATAATATGGAGTTGGAAAGCACTTTTTCCTTATTAGGTTTATCAAGGAAAAGCTAGCCTGGCAAGCTTGTTCTATCAAGCAAATGGATGTGGTAAAAAAACGAAATGAAAATTCTGATCCATATTCATTGTCTTGGTGTCAGCAAGGGAGAAAAAAGCTCCACTTTACATTTTGCTTCGCTTTTGAAAGCTGATCTGAAGTTTCACAAAGTAATCAAAGCTGATAAAGAAGCAAAAGAAAATCAAAGATAATTAATAGAAACAAAGCAAACAGCAGAAGAGGCCAGACAAAGTGTCTAATATTAACAAAATACAAAACACAGGACGTGCTTGACTGCACAGAGCAGCACCTCTGGGCATTGACAGAATTGTAATGGGGAGATTTCTCTCCCCATTATTTTGTAATGGGGCGCTTTCTTTTCAGAAGGCGCCACAGGCACTGCCTTCTGCCCTAGTTAAACTCTTCTTTTGTGATGAACCACTGTGAAGTAGCTGCACATTGACAAGGGCCATGTAGATGCCAGGCTGGTAGTAACTCTTTTTTCCCCTTCTAATTATTCAAAGAAGAAGTAGCATTGAGCTAAAAATAAGACCAAGCATTCTCCAGATCTGCAATTACTCTCTCAACTTGTACTTGTCTACAGTATTTCTTCAGCTAATCACTACAGCGCAAAACATGCCAGAATTGTTTGAAATCAGAATTCAATCCCAGACACAGTAAAAGACTAATAATGAATGTTGTTTACACACATTTAATTCAACATACCAGAAGCAATATTTTCACTCCCTTTAGCATTTTATTTGCTTATAAATACAAGTCAATACCACAAGATGGCACTTTCTTACTTGCAACACGTACTATTATAAACACATACCCTCTCAAATGTTCCCAGATGTTTACAACATTTAACTTTTCAGTGGATTTGAAACATTTAAAAAAACAAGACCTTCTACAAACTGTTTTTGTGTTTGATGTATATTAAATGAGGTCAGGTAATTAAATTCAAAAAAAAAGAATTTATAAATATTTCAGATAAGAAAATTTAATACAAAAGCAGAGTTTATATTAATTAAACTGAATAACAATTTAAACTGGCCATAATGTTTCTACATGGTTTTATTTAATTTAAAATACTTTTAAATTACAATCAAATCTTCTAGCCATTCATCAGAACACCTATCTACTCAACCTTTTAAAAAATATTTTCAGTTAAGAAACCACCTAGGCTTTTTCTTAGCAATCTTTATTCTGTCCTGTAGGTGTAAATGAAGTGAAATCATATTCCAGACTAGAAAACTGGATAAGAAGGAAGAAACTTTAACAAACTTCAAGATAACTTCAGATACTCCAGCTCATTATTCTTTGTGTTTCTCAAAATACATGATCCAGTTTTAAAGTCTTTGAACGAAATGTAAACACTGTAAAATTCATTGTTGAAATATGTGAAGAATAAAGAACCCTGCACTAATATAGTGCATAATGATGCTGTGTCAAACTTGTCATTTACAGTAAACGTCACATTTTCCTCTGGATTGTCATGCCTTTTTGTTGGTGCCTTTTTTTTTTTTTTTTTTTTAATACTAATTCCTTTTGATATCAGGAAGAGATGCATTTTCCAGTCTCTTCAAAAAAGTTGCACAAGATCCAAGACTTTTCTGGTATTTCTGTTCTGTCTGGTATATTACACATAAGGAGATTCCTCAAAAAACTGAGAAGTCTGAGAGTTACAAAAAAGAAAGCAGTTACGGCAGTCAATGTCTACATTTGGATTTCTTTTTTACGTTACATAGCAATGTCTCCATCATAGGCTAAGGTTAGAGGCTTCTGTTGTGGAGGAGTGCTTTGATGCTGCTTGCTTTTTTTGCTGTAAGAAAAATAAAAATATTTCAGGAGGCAAAACATGCAAATGGTAATAGACAGTGAAGCTCAAACACGTCAACAACAAAAACAAACTTCAACAAAAAAAATTATCTTCCCGCACTGGCTATTTTCCTTGGCACCCTATTGAAACAACCTTAATTATTATTGAGAAATACACCTCCTCACTAGTCTTCAAGTGATGGAGAACTCTGTGTTGAGGGATTTTTGAAACAGCAAAGATCCCACGGCTTGCTGCAGCTGAGCAAACCAAGCTACCAGGACGACTATGAGAAGTTCCCATGACAGTGTTCCCACATCACCCAACTGAGGAATTTAGAAAAATATTGTTGCCAGCAGCTGACTTCAAGGACGGGATCTACGTGACTGCTAATCACAACGGGGTTGTTTTCTTGTAGTTGTTTGTCTGAGTGCTTTTGACCAATAATCTTGTGTGAGACGCTATCCGCCCCTGTTAAGTTCACTATAAAAGTCAGGCTATTCGGGTAATAAACGGAGCATCATCTGACCACACTGGTGTCTGTCGTTGTTTTCGGCTGTTCTTCCTGCAACATATAGCACCCAAACAGGCTGAGACCCGCAGACGCTGAGACACACAGAGAGACTTCAGAGACACGCAGAGCCCTGAGAGACACAGAGAGATCTGCCAGAAGCCAAAACACCTGAGAGACGCTGAGAAACTCCAAGCACCCACCCGGACACAGAAATCGTGGTGAGACGCAGGACATCCAGGATCGAGTTGCTACGGGAGAGCAGAGGCGTCTGTGGACAACAGCAGACGACCTGCACTGTGTGGCGATTTGGCACAGAGCAGAGGGGTGGAGATCACGACCCTGCAGCCTGTCTGACGTAACCATGGAGGCGGAGGCGGCTGTGCAGCTTTTCTCTAGCATTCCCTCCATGAGAGGCATATCTTGCTATGCAAAAGACTATTCGTCCCCAGATCAGTGATATAACTATGCTGCTACATAATTTGATAAATGTACAAATGCTCCTCGACAATATTCAGTGGGGTTCTGCAACGAAACAGCAGCAGCATAGCAAAAGGACTCTTTCAATTTTGTATCTAAGCACACAAAAATAACGTGGGTGTTATGTTAGTTCTTTTCAAAATTCCAAGTAACTCATCTGATAACCATGGATGCAGGGCACACGCCATCTACTGGCAATATAGTGCCATATATTTCATTAATTGAAAATTCTCATTTTCTGAAGAGCTCCTGTAAAGCTCTCAAGTTTCTGTTATGAAGCATGAGAATAGGTGGCTTGCTTTCTTAAACAAGTTATTTTGAACACTTCACAAGAATTTTCCCCGCAGTTAAATGTGTTCTGGCAAGCATACATTTATATATGAGAATCCCACTTTTCCCACCATGTTCCCATCCTGAAGACATTTTGAGACATTCAAATTCAGCCATTTCCCTCAATTATCTAGTGGTTTTCCTCCTCATTTTCCTTTTCCAGTTCATCTAGAGTCAGCAGAATTAGAAACTAATTACATCAGTAATCTGGGCTGCATCTGATCTCAAAGACTGATAAAACAATAGAAATACAGCTTAAGGAAAAACAAATCCACATTAGACACAAAGCAATGTTTTTGAAAAACAGTGAAAATACTACGACCAATCCACGTTGTGGGCTGCTGTCAATGGCAGCTTTTAAATCAAAAATGGACGTCTGAAAAAGTCTAGCTTTAAGAAGTCAACCAGGGAAGCAACCTGTCTCTTACATGGACAAATTAACACTGTTGTCTCTCTTGTTTAAGAAGCACATGTGCTATAACCATCTCAAATCTAAAATGGAGTCATGAGAAGCAATTTTAAATTGCATTAGCCTGTTTCCAGTTGTTGCAAAACAGTGCTAACATGATTCATAGAATGCAAAGAATTCCCACTGCATCATAATTTTTTTAAGCGGTTCATCAGATGCCAAGTTTTAAGTGATCCCCAGCTCTTTGATATAGTAAATTCTTCTGGTGTTGGTTTAAAATTCAAATATATCCCACATTCAACCTCAAAACCACAACACAGTAAAAAACTAAACTTTGGTTAGCTAACGAAAATCTTTTAAATAATCAAGACTCCGAGTAGCAAATTGTGATGACAAGGCTCTATTTAAGAAGCAAAGACACTGCCCACCATTCACTCTAAGTTTACAGACTTTAAAAAGTGCCCCCATGGCATAGAGAAATCGGGTTGGATCCGATGATCTCGAGGTCCTTTTCAACCCCTACAATTCTGTGATTTGTGAATGTTATATATGTATAACAAACAGAAGGGATGAGTTACCTTGAAGCTGTAGCCTTGATCTACAAGAAAACATTGTCGCTTGGTTGAATATGCTGTTTCCTGAGTGTCTTGGGACACAAGAGAATAAAGAAAGGCATTGTATTCCTCTGCAACCATGCCTAGGAGACAAAGACATCAAATGATTAATTCCATCTGGAACACTGTAACCAAGAACAAAAAAGGACTAAACAGTAAAACTAGGTGTTTAAATAAGCCATCTCTCCACAAAATCAATTTGCAAAGTTTATTTTAAAGACAAAGTGCACTTTGTCTCTGTAATCCAGAAAAAGGGCAAGAAAGTCAGGTTTCCTAAATGACACAAAACCAGAGGTAAAAAACAAAACCCCTACCCTGCTTACAGGAGTCATTTTCCAGACAGACAAACACAGAACTGAAGCACTATGAATAATTTCACTCTCCACCTGACAGTTACAGCCTCCACTAAATTATGACTGCTTCCCTAGTGAATACTCACTCTTTCTAAAATATGTCCCAACAGGCTGTGACATAAACCAACTTTCAAGCTTATTACCACCCTGTACAAGAGAACTCTTGAAGCAGAACCACTTTTGCCTGGAGCTACTTCTTGACTTGTCTTGGGAAGATATAAACTGAAATACAGTAGATTAAGCATTCCTTGTTTAACAGCTAATGGAACAGCCTTAAGTCGGTGTCTGTTAGAAAACATTCAGTTCATCAAGTCAAACAGAAATTCATGTTGAAGAAACAGTTCTCCTTAGTTCCACACAAACTGAAACAGAAAAAAAAAAGTGACAGAAGCACCCCACTACCACCTTCCCAATAATATTCCTCAAACTAAAAATGAATGGGAGTCATCAGTCAGATTTCCAGTAACCAAAGATGCGATTCCTAAAACCCTGCCCACACAAAAGTTTAAATCCTACCGACCTTCTGCTTATCCATCACAAAAATGAAAATGCCAATACAATCAGACAGTTTTCTAGGTGATCTCTACTCACTGACTCTAGAAGCCACCATAAAGAATTAATTTCACAGACTTATTACAACAAAAAACATGGTTCAACAGAAGCGGATAATATCTATCCCTTTTTCAGACAAGGTTTTTCCATTGTGGTGGCTTTCTGTTAATTTGTTCTCAATGAGAGCAATTGCTTGACAAGTTGCAGTTAACCTAAACCACACCAAACCAGCAGGCTGGTTACAGCTGGTTTATACAAACCTGCTAGTGACTAACAAATGGGCTAAAATGCTGGACAGGAAGCCCGCCCTCACTTCTACTGAAAAAGCTGCCGACTACATCTTTTAATCGATTGTATCACTGTCAGTCAGGCTGCTTGAGCCACCCTCTGCAAGCACTGGAGCTAACGCCAGCCAGAAATCCTCCTGTCTGCCATGTCAGCAGAGCTCACTGGCACTGCAGCTACAGGGGAACAACTCCACAGATATCCCAGACAAATAGCTTTGCAGTTTGCAATTTACTTATCCCCTAGAATCCCCCGATCATTAAAGGACAGAATCAAATAATAGAAACAATCCTTGCTTTATGGTCATACAATATATTCAAATCCACGAATTTTGGAAAAAAAAAATAAAATCACTGTGAGTTCTGGCTCCAGAAACATTGAATGCTTCTACTGATATTATGCATATTTCACAAAGCTAATTTTAAGTTGTTAAAAGTAAAACAAAAAGTGGGAAAAAAAAACTCAGTTATTCTGGCAACAGTGAAACAACATTGTAATGGAAGGGCAAAAAAGATGTGAGAAAACATTTAAGAAAATTCATTTCTGGCTGAAAAATTGGAAAAGTAAAGAAAATTTGATGCAAGTGAAAGACAGGGTAGCATCTATATTATTGTTAAAAAAACCTCTCCCATGTGATCTCAACCTAACAGCTTATTTAAGAAGACACAGCTTATTTTGTTTACATTTCAGTATTCAATTTAAACTTAATAATTACTGAAATGCTAAACAGAGCCTAAGAACTATCTCATTTACCCTTTTTGGCTCTCAGCACTCGCCCCAGTCTTTGAGCCTCCTGTCTTCAAGACCCACCATGGGATGAAATCTGAATCAGAACATTGGCTTCTGGTAGATCAAAGGACGTATCCCCTACCTACAACACAGAAGCAATCTCTGAGCAGCATCTTATATTTATATGCATGTTTCATAAACAAAGACTGAGTACAAAGTACACCTTTGTTAGCTGCAATACAAAGATGGCCAATGCACAAGTTACATATATAACTTGCTCTTAAAGTTCACTCTGAAAATGGATACGATAACACACTAAGTCCTCAATTACCTTGGAAATGAAAATAGCGTTGATTTTTGGATTGTGCTTGAAGTTTTGTAGAATTTGGATTCTTTCTCCTTGTGCAGTAGGACCATATATATAGGGTCTGAAAAAAACAAACCACAGAACAAATGCAAATTAAACCAAATCAAGGTTTCTCAGTCATTTCTTCACAAAGATACCACATCAGGAAGCACAGAACACATCTGAACTCATAAAAGAACGGACCACATTTTTATACAGCTTACAGTTTGCTTTTAGCTTGTTGGGATGTTTATGGCAGCTATCCAGCTTGTGGAACCCTTGACAACGACCCAGCCTACCAGAAATAAATTCTGGCAGTTACAAATATTTTGCAATTATGTGCACCAGTGAAGCTGTAGATGAGACCGAATACATTTACTAGGCCTACATGAAAGACTAGAGGCAGCTGTTAAAATAAAAGATGTTTTCCTCAAATCTACTGAGTTAGCACGTTAACAGCTGCAACCTTTGCTTCCTATTCAAACACTTGAAAATCCAGGCTTCTCTAACAATTCACTTCCTTCAAACATTTTATCGCTTCACTGGGATCCCACAGCTGTTCAAGGATGAAGTCCCAGAGCATCGGAGGTACCTGCCCATGCACCCACCTATCCACCTGTAACCGTACTCCTCAGGGCATATCCCCAAGCAAGGACCTTAAATAGTTGTTTAACCTTAGGAAAAGTCAAAAACACGTTCTTGAGACACACCTATAGGAATATTTTGGTTACCAAAGGATGTTTAAGATACTGAGGAGTTATTGTAACAAGGCACAAAATATCTAGCACACAGGAAAAAAAAGGGGAAGGTGTCATCCTTTGTTTTATCCATAAATTGGCTATGAGAGGAAAAAAAGGAAAAAAGCATTAATTCTTAATTGTCTCTACGAGATGGATCCTAAAGTGCAGGGACGCCAGCAATTCAGGGCCCAACTACCAGGTTAGGTTCAAGGCCAATGCTTTTGTCATACATCTCCCAAGCAAAACAAAACTAAAGTGCTACACATCCCAGCAAACTGAAAAAGCCAAGAACAGCCTTTAACGAGCTCTCATATTTGGTATTCAGCAAGAAAGGAAGCATGGCATGGACTAAATAAAACAATGTTGACAACAGATAAGCCAATATTGCAACCAGAAACTGTAAAACTGGTATTGTAATTTTAAATTTCCTCCAATGCACTCTGGTTGAACCTGTTATCTCATCCGTAAACCAACTTGGGTGCTAAAAATGAGTGTTGTGGTTTAACACCACACCACCACCCACTCACTCTCCCCACAGTGGGATGGGGGAGAGAATTGGTGGGCAGAAGTGAGAAAACTCTTAGGTTTCATACAGGTTTTGGGGAAAACAAAACGAACACACAAAGAGAAACAAAACCAAGAAGAACAAGTAAAATAAAATCCAATGGCTCACCACCAGCCAACCGATACCCAGCCAGCCCCCAAGCAACTGCAGCCCTGGCACACTTCCCCTCCAGGTTTTAGTGCTGAGCAAGACACCCATCCTGTGGTCCAGAGCACCCCGTGGCCAGCCTGGGCCAGCTGCCTCGGCTGCGTCCCCCCTAGCTGCCGCACCCCCAGCCTCCTCGCTTGGTGGGGCTACAACTAGAACATCATCACTGTGTTATCAACGCTATCTTCATCAGAAACACAAACATAGCACCATACAAGCTACTAGGAAGAAAATTTAAATTAAGCACAGAATAACCTAGAGCGCCAGGCTATCAGTCCTCCATTTTAAGTCCCACCGTCCCTGCACCCTACTTCACCATAATTAAGACGCATCTAAGTACTTTCCAGAACACAGAACATGCAGCGCTAGATTGATTTTTTAACAAAAAGCCTTTCATTTCCTACAAAAAGGTGTTTGAGGGATCTATAAAGATGCCTCTCCAATATTTTGACATATTGTCAAACCTACACAGGGACAGTCCTTCAAAAACAGCCATTTAAATATATTAACAGCACCAGTAAAAAATAAACAGCCCAAGTTATACAACTTTTGATGAAAGACTCATGACAGTAAAACCTGGCCAAGCAGATTTGAATTCCGTGGCCCCAGAAGTTATAGACAAACTAATTCCTGTCATGTGCATGGCCTTTCCCTGCCAGTACCAAAGGAACACGTGGGGGTCGAGGAGGAGCTGGCACAGGGGCATCATTAAAACACTCTCACACTCATCTAGCACTGCAATTGTCCTTTCTTTTTAACATGTCTCTGTAAACTGGAACTCCATACATGATGCGTGGAAAGGAGAACTGAGTCAAGAACATGAAAAACAAGCACCTAGTATTTCTTCAACTAATTCTGCTGCTGTACTTCTACAGCATCTAGCCCATTTAAAAACTGTTGTGCTATGTAGCAAGCACCTCCTCCTGTGTCCTTGTTAAAGGCTCTTTTTCTGTGATGCACTGAATTACAGTAAATGTCTAGAGGTGACAGAAATCTGTGAGACTATGAGATAACTTTCTAGGAAGAAGAAAAACAACAGTGCCGTCACTGGTTGTGAACACTTACTTCCCAAGCCTAACTGCATACTCCTTCAGTGCAAACACATTGTCAGCAAAAACGTTGATTTTGTCATTCCGTCACTCATGAAACTTAATCAGGAACTGGCAGGCTCAGAACTTATTTGGGTTCATGGTGTAGAGCAGTATCCGTTTCTTTGTTTTGATGGCTACATATTCTCAATAAAATTCAGGTGATATTAGGCACCAAACCTAGAATTAGAAAACACATCCAGAGTAACCCCCAGTTATTTTTTGTATCCCAGAGGGAATTTAAAAGATATTGGGGGGTGATAATACACAAAAGCTTTCTGTACAGTGCAGATCACAAATCTTAATACAGTAACTTCTGTACTAAAAGGGTGAAAGATACAGGCTGAGGCACTGTGACCACAACAGGAACAGGCAGGGGACTGACTGTGACTGGAACAGGACTGTAAAAAAGTTGTTTCACACCTGGTAGTTTCACTGAATGCTACCACATATTAGAAAGCAAGTATTAAGGGAACAAACTTTGTATAATCTCCCTGCCGCTGCAGTCAAAGCCTTTTCCCTACAAATTCATTTTCATCCATATTCTGAAAACCTAAAGACACATTTAGTCTTTGTTACAGAACAAAACTGTATGAGCAAGTTAACAATTACTTTAACAGACTGCAGCTGTTTATGGAACTGCTGCGCTCTCTTCTGGCACTGTGAAAGAGTAATACTTGCAGTGGCCATGCCCTGCCTAATCATACTGCAGCACTGCCCTCTCCTGCCACCTAGCAAGAAGTGCACTTAAAGAGTGAACTAGACATCTTTTATGGCCATGGAGAATAGTTGGTAAGAGATCACAGAACCACAGAATTTCTAGGTTGGAAGAGACCTCAAGATCACTGAGTCCAACCTCTGACCTAACACTAAGATGCTACTTCTCAATAGCATGCCAAGGAGATCCACACAAATAAGCAAAGCAGCTGTACATGTATTAATATTTCCCAGCCATCAATTTTTTTGATTTCATTCTTTGCTTTAGCAGTATCTCAGAGTATTATTTCAAAACATTGGCCTTAAGAATATCAATGTACATGTCATTCAGGAGAAAGGCAGCTCAGACTTCACTTTCCAATGTCTCAATGTCTCAATATTAGTTATACTGAACAATACCTAAACTTTGAACATTACTAATTTAACTTTAAATCAAAATTATTAATTAATAATAACATTTATTAATTAATGGTTAATTAATAAAAGCACTCATTAAAATGATCGATTAAATGATAGAAATATTGATTTATTAATTTTAATTTAAATTTAAATTTCAGGGACTGAGAGAAATCGCATTGCTGGTGGAATTAACCAAAGTACCTTAGGGATCTTTAGGAGATGCTTCCCCCACAAACATTGAAGCAGAGCTGATTAACGAGGCACAGAGCATTGCTGACAGAACTGAAAGTGACTGCTGACAAAACAAGCACACAATAATCACTCCAAGCTACTTAACAATTTCTCCAACGTTTGTTTCAATTGCTTTAAAACTTGCCACACATACTGCTGATTTACTGGTGGATGTCTCTGTAATGAGCTCTGTTTTTTCACCTTCAGCATTTCTCAGGCAACAGTCCTTAATGACACGGTCTTGCAGAAGCTGCTGAATGACATCAGGATCAGTACTTTCCACGAAATATCTAAAAGGAAAGAACAAAGAAAAACATCTGGATGAACTAATCAACAGAATCATACATAGGAAGAGGGGCACAGGTGCTCATATCTACAGCTCTCCCAGATGCATTCTGAAGTACCCTCTGTTAGGGGAGGTAATTAAAAAAAAAAAATATGACAATCTGAAGTTTTAGAAAACGCCTCACACCAAAAGCATCACGTACTTTCATGTTATCTACCTTGGTCAGATGATCTCTCTCTAAAATGGCACGAGTGGGGAAAAATAAAGAACTGCCAAGACGTATCTCTTGATCGGTGCCTTCCTCTCCACTCCTCCTCACGAGGAAAGTGTAGGCCACGATGACGTCTCCCTTCAACCTCCTCTTCTCCAGGCTGAACAGGCCCAGTCCCCTCAGATGCTCCTTGTATGTCTTCCCCTCCAGGTCCTTCACCATCTTTGTCGCCCTCCTCTGGTCACTCTCCAACAGTTTAACGTCCTTTTTGTACTGCACACCGTACTCGAGGTGAGGCTGCACCAGCACAGAGCAGAGCGGAACAATCACCTCCCTCGACTGGCTGACAATGCCATGCTTGGTGCACCCCAGGGTATGGTTGGCCCTCCTGGCTTCCAGGGCACGAGGCTGGCTCACATTCAGCTTGCTGTCAACCACAGCCCCCAGACCCCTCTCTGCGGGGCTGCTCTCCAGCATCTCCTCGCCCAGCCTGTAGGTACAGCCAGGTGCAGGACCCGGTGCTTTTATCTCTCGTTTAACTTCACGCGGTTGGTCACCACCCAGCTCTCCCACCTGCCCAGGCCTCCACCACCCTCAGCGCCCCCTCCCCCCGAAACAACGGCCCCGGCCCGCCCGCCGCGCACCTACCAACCACCCCGAGCGGCATCCGCAGCCGGCAGTCCTCGGCGCCGTGCTCGTCCAGCTCGCTGCCGCCGTCCTCCACAAGCTCCCCGGCGGCCGAGGGCACGGCCTAAGCGGCCTCCCCTCCCCGCTCCTCCCTGCCCATGGCCGCCGTCGCCACAACCGCCTCAGCCACCACAGCCGCCAGCCGCTGCGTCACTTCCGGAGGAGAGAGGCGGGAACGGGCTGAGGGGAAAAGGCGGGAAGGGGCTGAGGGGACGGGTGTGGGGGGAGGGAAGGTTGATTTGTTTTTTCTTTTTTTAATATTAATACAAAACTCTTAGGCACACAGCTGTCCCTACAGTGTTTTAATATATTTCTAAGTACAATTCGTGTCTGATTCTGGAAATACAAATACATTTTGAATGGTTAAAAACGAAAAATTAAAAAAATATTCTGAACATCAGCCAGCTGAAAATATATTCATCTAGTAAATTATCTCTCAAAGCTTTTATATATTTAATTATTCTAACTAAACATAGTACCCTTAAAAAACAAGTTCATAAAAATGTAGAAATGAAATTGTGGAATAAGATTACTGGGATATATACACACACAGTCACCGCAGACACAGAGGGAACTGGCAAGCGACGCTCGGCTCCTGAGTTCCTCAACCAAGATAACCATAGGCTAGTTTTTAATTTTTTTTTTCCTTTTTTTTTATACACAAGATATTCCATGTAAAGCAGCAACAGCAGTGCAGTTACTGATAGCAACATCTCAAAAGTAATAAAAAACCATACATCCAGACAGTAGTACATTGCACACACACGTGATTCTCATACACCCATCAACAATTGGTCAGAGTATTAAATCAGTGTACAAATTAAATATTTCCAAAAATGTGCAAAAAAGTCAACGTTGATAGAAAAAAACACCTTTGTGTACATACATTACAAACTGTGCCCAGCATTCAACTGAGAGTAAAAACATTTACAGTGAGAAACTGATAGATTAAATAGAGAATTTAATGGCTACATAAAAATGTACATTAGATCAAGAGAAAATTTACAAATTTGTATTCATAGCTTCATGAAAACTAAAAGTCTACGTTCCGATTTACCTAAGTCTCCTCCACATATATACAGTGATATTCCTTTATACGACTCCTGTGAGGTCTGAGATGACAGACACTAGGCTTTGATAAACCGTTAAAGATTTGGGGGTGACACCACCTTTACACTGCTATTAACGAGAAACAAACACTAGGGAACTGGCAAGACGATGCCTGTTCAGAAAAGAAAACACAACTTTTGTTTTTAAACCCACATTAAATAACCATTGGGGAAAAGGATCAGCTATTATTGGGGTAAGCGACGTGAACAACTGAAATATTTCCTGGGAATATCCACTTAAAGTGTCCTTTTCCTTGTATCTCTTGACAGAAGACCCTGACCTCCAATCCTCATCAGTGGACTCAAAATAAGGACTGAACCCCGAGGTACAAATTTAATGTATTTTTATCCAGTTCCTCTCCCTTGAAAGTAAGTTTATGAAAACCTAAGACCTAACCAAAGCGAGACTACTCGCATTGTTTCTTTGAAGGATGAGAAATTTTACTTTCTCCATCCATCCTACCCCTCAAGTACAGGTACATATCTATTGCTAGAAAAGCCAGGCAGCTGCTGTGCATGGTGCAGACGGGGCCGTGCCCCCTACACGGGGCAGGGGGTCCCACAGAACCGCCCCAGCTGCTGCACCCCACTTCATGGCACAGGGCCGGGTGCTAAAGCTGCACCGCATCAGTTCCAGCCCTAATGGGGAGCTCTCGGTGGCTGCCACCTAACCAGCATTTAGGTTATGCCAATTAGAAAAATAAACCGAGGGGTTGGAAATGAAAAGAGTGCCTTTGTATTCTGATAGAGTACCGATTTAGCAACCAGGCTGGTAGCAGTTCTGCCCCCTCTGGTGTGGGTTTGTGGCTCCTCCTGAAGGCAGCATACACCCAGGTAGCTGTGGGTGACATCTGGCTCTGGTGTAAAGCAGACTCCTTCCCAGCAGCTTTGAAAAGTTCTTACTATGGTGCACAGAGCAATTCAGGTCACAAATCTACTTATCTTGATGGCGTTCCTCAAATGTCCCAAAGCTCAAGCCTGGCTACAAAAAGTCACCAGGTTTAGTCACCAAGCTTATGCCTTATTTTTAGAATTACAAAAATAAGATTAAGTTAAAAAGAGTTACTAAAAAAAAAAAAATTCCTTTTAATGCTGTCATGAATTTTGTGCATTTAAACAGCAAATATAAACACCCAAATGTTTTAAACATGGGAGGTGTCTATGTACTAGTACCTGCTTTATTCAGTTAGCAATAAGCTTACTGGTGGATATATAAGTATGTGTATCTATAAGTAACAGTACTAATCCATGAAACATCGCTTTTGGCTATATGTATATGGGAATAGAAAAGCTTTGGTAATTCTATGTGGTTTTACACTGCAGGCTTGTCATTAACACAAGACAGCAAGTTACCAGCAAGAAATGATACCAGCAGTAATACTTTCGCTTTTCCAGAAACACCATACAGACTTACATTCAAGCACACAAATTCTGCTTTTCTATATGCGTGACAGATTTTCAAGATTAAAAAGAAATTAACTATAAATAACTGTAGATCTGACCAATTTGCTCAAGTCTCTGAAGCTGCAGTTACAGTTTGCTCTATCATCTGAAAGAATGGCTTGCTATACTGCGCTGTACCTACAGGTGCTGCAAGAAGGCTTTCAGTCAAGACAACGGCAGGATTAGGATTTTCCAAAATAGAAAACAGGAAAGAATTTAATGGAAACAATATCAGCTTCACTGAGAAGTCTGTTGATTTGCTTAGATAATATTCCTGTGTACTGAAAGTAAACAACTTTTATTACAGTACCATGTTTACTAACGTACCAACTACAATTTCACATCTGCTAAGTACTCTACAGGAAACCCAGAGTCTCGTACCCAGAGCTAGGAAGCTAAATCTCAGCTGTAATTGCGGTTCTGTGAATGGAAACACGTCTTTTCTGTGGTATGCATAACAGCATACAGTCTCCAAAATGCAAATATGAAACCTGTGCAAGCATAGGAAGCACTCAGGAAGTGCTCCAAAAATCACTTTTTAAAATTCTCAATGTAAAAGACTGCAGCAGATTATAACTAAAGTACACTTTTTAATGCAGTCATGTGAATTCTGGTTTGGGCACCTCAAAATATACTCTAATCCCAATTTGGTGACACGGAATTGTATGACAGCCGTAGCATTTCAATATGCTGTTCAAGAGGAACAAAATTAAGGCATACAGATAAAAAGGCACTACCTAAGGGGGAAAAAAAAAAACAACAAAAAACACCACCACAAATGAATAACTTTTCATTTTGTTATAAAGGACTGTTAGGCTGCAATTGGAATTGCAAATTCGGTTAAAAATTTGAGACTAAATTTAAACTTTCAAGAAGTCAAAGTAAGTTGAATGAAGTTAATAGATCCATACTTTAAGTTCTTGCATGGATATTTCTATCACCTAAATTAAAAATAAAACTTGCTCTAACATGACAGTTAGTTTAACAGGACAGAGTCCCACCATTAAAAGCACATTACAGAAATAGCTTAACTTTTGTTACTTAATATGTAAAACACACAACATAAAATTAATTAATAGATAAATAAGTCCTTTGTAAATAAACATAATCACGGTGAACCTTGATTCTTACTTTTGGGGAGCATAGCTCCATCATGGCATTTACAGAAAAACAAATCATATCCTTGCAACAGTGCTATTTTCATGAGCATTTTCTGGTAATTGGACTCAACAATGAAGAACAATTGATGATTCTAAAATGCTGGTGTCTTTGCTAATAAGATACCGTAAATAGTGAGCTGAGAAGGGGCCTCATCTCAGCAAACCTCCTCCAGTGGAGTTTCCAGCATGCAATTCCATGCACCCTCTGGAATTTTAGAGCAAGGGTTTGTCCATTATCATGCCAGTGGTCAACAAAGTGTTGTACAGGCACTGTACACAGAGGCATTACATTATTTAATACAAATTGCTTTACCACATTACCCCAACACAACAACACTGAAGTGCATCGTGCAAGGGGATAAGTATCAACTAATCTTCTGGTAAAAGGTCTGATTTAGCTTCATCATTACTTCCAGCTCAAAGCATTTATATTGATAATCATCTAAATTTACTATAAGTTGCTTAGGTCAGTGGACAAATTCTCCACACAGTAAAAAAAAAAAACAAAAACAAAACAAAAACACAGCTAAGGCCTAATCCTGGTCAAGTTAATAACGTTTTACTAGCATTGCTGGAGCTGACAAAAAGTTGTCTGTATTTAAGAAGTGCTGTCTTTACTTCAGCGGCTTTCTGATATGTGCTCTGCAAGTTCTTTTTTTTGGTTCCAAAATGCTTACCCTTGTCATGACTGAATGCCGTTTTTAGAAAAGGCACAAAAGCAGCAAACTCAATTATTCAGTAATTAAATTCACAATGAGAAAGTGGTATTGCAATATACATCAGCCAGCACTGTCTCACAAAAAGGACACAGTATTAGAAAACTAGATTCTGAAAATTTTCAAGCTTCAGAGAGTGCAGTTTCTTTTTAGAATAGTATCTTTAAATGTTATGAATGCTACAGATAAACCTGGTTACATTTTCCCTTTAATGTCCTTTTTTGGTAATACAAAATTTCCTTTTCAGGTATCACTGTCCACTACTGATTTTTATATACATTTTCACCTTGGTTTTGGTACCTTCTTAATCTGCTTGAAATCAATCATTTCGGTTATATGATCTTTAAATTAGCTACATAAACTATTAGGCTCTACATTAACCCTCCCACCCCTGCTGTCACTACATTTTGCTTATAAAGCAAAGGTCCTTTACAGCAGAGCACACACACATTCTCCTTAAAGTCTGCTTCCATAGCTTTTATCTAGTGACAGAGAGCCCCTCCCACCCCCCAACCCTCCCAAAAAGTCAGTACAAGCAGACTTTCCTTTCAGCCTTTTAAGTTTTCCCTGGTCAGGATTGTCCCCTCCCATGCTCAGGAAACCTTGCACAGATGTGCACCCTGACTGAGAAAATTATAAACAGGGTACAATGCTCACAAACTGGAGGCCACCACTCTCAGTGCCAGGAGAGGTGGCACAAAATTCATTCTTACTCCACTACAGGTAAAGTGATTAGGATAGATCCACACTCCTGCTTATGCCCTTGTAAAAAAAATTTGGAAGTTAACAGGATAAATTCAGAAATCTCATGAGCTAATTAGCATGAGAATAGGTAAATTTATTACTCTGTCTCCATGTATTTCATAATTCTGGTAGTCCTCTAAAGATATAAAACAGAGTGGAGCCTGGGGACAATAATATAGAGTCTTGTCAGAGTAGACAAGGTTCACAGCATCTGCCTGCTCTGTTTTTATAAAACAAAAGCAAGCAATGAATCATCCAAACAGTATACATTAATTCAGTTCTGTAGTCCAATTATTTATTTCCAAATTCCTTTTTTAAATTATTTATGTTGTATTCTACATAAATACAAGAGCTTGACTTTTCTGGTGTGAAATTTGGTTGTTAACTATACCTGATCAGTACCTGAACTTCTCTATTGAGAAGGACTATTTCAGAGTTTTGCCTTTGTTCTTTTATTATTCTCTTTGAGAAAGAGGATTAATGTCCATTTTATGAGAGTTGGAAATCTGAAAAAACACCGATCAACTGGATTATTGGGCTGCAGTAATCCCGCTCATGTTATTCAGTTGCTAGCGCTCTGCACTTTTGGCCTATCCTTCATACAGTCTCTTGTGCTGTGCCTCCTTGTTCATTGTTGCCTCATGAGAAGTATAACTGGAGTCTTATCTTTCTCAGTGACTTACTCCTAGTGTTCAAAGAAGTTTAATTTTATTTTAGGAATTGTCAATACATCCTAGATGACTGAACTGTGTTACTAAAGCAATGCTTATAGTGCATAATGGGAAGAACTTTATATTATTCAGGCACTTGATGTTGACATACATTCCATCTTAGCGCCCCTCGACAGCTTTGAAGACATTATTTCCTATAGGTCATTTTGAATCATGTAACACACATACTGCAGAAGGATTTGTCACTCCTCTCTCCCCCAAACGTTCATGGGATTGTGGAGGAGAACTCTCTCAACACCACTTATTTCTTATCTAAGGTAATTGTCTCCCTCCAAGCTTATGCAACAGAGGATTCTCTTTGGCAGATACAGCAGGAGACATTCTCCCAATTATTTACATCCAACAGCTACCTCTTTTCTATTGCAGAAATTTTCCCCTTATAGCATGCTAAGTTCCTAGGAGTCTGGGTCCATAATCTGTTTACCTGTAATTCTTTTCCTATAAAGATAGGATAGTTCTACACCAACATCTCTAGTACATCAGTATTGAATTCTTTTTTATTATTTTCTTTTGGTCACATAGAAGTACCAGTTAGACATGCTTTTGTACAAAGAGTTCCAAGTTCTTCCAGCTTTATAATTAACTCTCAGAACCACATGATCCAGCTTAAATTACAAAATGCTAGAACTGATTAAAACGTTAAAATATGAGAACTTCGAACTCTCTGTTACAAGTACCTATAATATAAAGAACAATCACAGAGAAGTAACCTTTTTGTCCTCTAGCTGCATGTCTATTTTTCCCTGCACCCTGAGTCTGTCAGCAGTGTCAGAAAAAGTCACACAGTTCCTGACTATCCAATCATTTCTTTTTTTTTCCCCCTTTAAATAAGGAACAAATATGTACTAAAGTGCTTTATCTACACGAACCACATCAGTACATTATAGAAACAAGAAGTTCTAGTCCTGGTGGGAGCAGGGAAGGGAAGATTCTCATTTTAGATACAAAATTCAGATTGTTTACAATCTAAGTGAAACAAAGATTCAAGAGAACGCGTTCTCTCTCTTGTCTTTTTTTCTCCTTTTTTTTTGTAAAAGATAAAAAATAAAAGTGCAGTCAAATAGAAAATAAATGCAGTAGACGCAAGCTGACTTGAGGCAGGCTGTTAGTGATAGTGTGCAAACGTGTGTCTTAGCAGTTCATCTGCAAATGGTCGCAACTTGGCCTCGATAAAAATCCTTTTCAAGAAATCCCGAGCATGGTCTGAGACATGAGGTGGTAACTGGGGATTGGTTGGCTGAGTGGCAATCTTAAAGATGGCAGCCATAGCTTCGAATTCTGCCCACGGGGGCTTCTCAGTGAGCATTTCTACCACTGTACAACCTACGCTCCTGAAACAGAGGCAAAATGAGACAGCAGGTTACAACAGAATCGTGCTCTCCTGGGAATGCAAGAAACATCAGGTTGCTACTAAACACCATGAGCATGTAGGGTCCTCTTAACTCTACACAGCAACAGAGAACAGCCATCCACTGTCTCAAGGTAACCCAAATCTACCCACAGCTTCACGCCCTTATTTCACCAGGCCCAGAGCTGCTACCTCAGAGAAGAGATACCCAGGTCTGTCTCTGGACAACACTGCCTGGGCTGCGACCAGACACCAGAACCCTGCAGGTTCACGTCTCAGCGCTCAGCAGGCTGACAGAGGCCAAGAGCTCCGCGCAAGCCCGGTGCTCCAGCTCTTCAGACACCTGCAGGATTTGAATGCATTTGAAAGCTTTCTTGCTCATTAAGTCCTTAATGGAAATGCAAAGCAACAGGAATGCTTGAAAGGCAGAGTACACTGTGCATTTTGTTAGCTCGTTAGAAATGCACTTGTCCCCAGTTAGTGGGATAGAAACCTAACATTGAAGAAAAAAAAGTTTAAAACCATCCTTCAGTAGCGTCTTCCTCTTTTAGCTAAAGATACTAAAATGGATTGTGAAACAAAGTTTTAAGTTCTTAAACTATCTTTGTACACAAAGCTGATGTTTAAATGATTTATGAAGGCAGAAGTGCATGCAAATGTCCAGGAGAAGTCTGTTCCATAAGCCCTGCAACAGCAGCCTCTTCCAGTAACACATGAACAATACTGCCAAATGGAGAGGTTGGACAAATTTCTCAATTTCCAAGAAGTTATTTTGTTAGTCTCATTTCTTTACACAATAACAATTTACTGAATGACAGAAGTCTCACTTCAGTATTTCTTCTTAGTTTTAACCATAATTTTCCCCATCAAAAACAAGCATTGACCTTGGTACAAATACTTCAGCAATGAACAGGTCAAATGCCAATTGTTCTATCATTCAAGTAGAGCAGAATAATTACGAAGTGATCTGAAGCAGGCTAAGTGAATTTTCCTGACACTGAAAATATTGCTGTTGGTTGGACAGAAATTGGTTTCTTTTAAAACAAAATGTTACTGCCTCTGCACATCTATTGCTGCCTACCCAGTCCTCTGTGTTCAGAGCACACACAGTGTAAGAAGTGTAATGGCCAAAAGGATCTGTCCATTGGGTCTGCGCTAAGTTACCCTATGCAATGTGTTACACTCTCTCATGTTCGTTCTGGAAATCTTTCCCTTCTTAGTTCTTAAAAATGTAATAACTTACAAAAACCTCCCCTCTCCCCCCATACCCAATCTCCCATTTAAATCTAGCTAATTCATTCCTATGTGCTCAAGGGAGCAGCATTTCATTTTAACGCTTTGCATTGGAGGTATTTCAGTGATAAAGTTCAATTAAGCAAAGTATTAATTTACGGGACACTGATTTTACTGATGCTTCAGAGCTTTACATGTTGCTTTCACCCAGTAACTCTGCAGGATTTACAAGCAGTCTGTTAATCCTAACTTCATGCAAGGTTAGTTCACAGGATTTTCGTATGACTCCTAAATTAACAGGCTCGGGAACTGCCAAACCAACAATTCCCAGATGTCAGCATTACGTGCTCCAAACACGACTGCCAGTGCTCACACTTGTCCCCTTCTTCAGCTTAAACCCCAGAACAAAACACTCCAACTCTGGATGATAAAGAGCCCCTTCTGAAATCATGCACTTTGGTAAAGAAGTTTTGTAACATACCAGATGTCTGCTTTTCTGCCGTACCCTTCCCCACTGATAACTTCTGGACTCATCCAGTACGGAGTTCCTGTGACAGACTTCATTCCTGTACCAGACAGACAGATAGTCTGGAGTCGTTTGCTGGCACCAAAGTCACCCAGCTTCACATTGCCTGCTGAATCTCGCAGAATATTTGCTCCTGGAAGGAAAAAAACACTTTGGTGTTGTTTTGTTTTCCTTCTCCAGGAAACTTCAGTCTCTCTGTAAAGCCTTCTTGAGAAAATGAAATGAGAAATTTTCACACTGCTACAAATGTCTTCACACCACATTAAAGTAAAATCTTAAACTATGTCGCAGAGTAGCTCTAAACACTTATTTGCATAAGCATGCAAAAAATGTCATTGACATTCAAATATTTTTTGGAAAATACTATTGATACAAAGCAACAGAAAAACCGTAAGTGTTTTAGGGAAGACAACGGTGTTGTTCCACACGCATATTTTGCACTTCACCATCTTCCCACATACTCATAATGTGCTTTTGCAGCACTTACAAGTTACCTATCTCTATCTGAAAAAGTAAAGATTCAGTTTCCTGGAAGGAAAGTGGAAGAAGTCTGAGTCATTTGGGTCAGGCAAGTCACCTCTGCCAGTCATTTCTTGTAACAGTGAAGTGCTGGGTAATTTCTGTGTAACTAACAAAACGCTGTAAAAATAAATATTTTCAAATCATGCTGCTTTCCTCTGCATACTCCATCTATTTGTAATTACACGATCTTTTGATATATTCAAATTACTTACACTAAAATAAAATCAGAACAAAATTTATTATGAATGCTTTGCAGACGGAGACTAGGGAAACATTTTCAGAGATCTGCTAGAACAGACTCATTTTACAACAGTGACAAGAATAACACTGGAAAGCAATCACACTGATATCAAGTCAGTATTTTGGCATCTCAAATTTAATTAAATTTTAGTGAAAAGGCAAGAATATAGTTCATAGTGAAGAGCACTGAGATGTACACAGAACTATCCTCCTTCTTACCTTTAATATCTCGATGGACAATCATATTACTGTGCAAATAGTGAACTCCTTCCAAAATTTGTCGCGTATATTTACGAGTCACATTCTCTGTGAGTGCTCCATATGATTTCAATTGGTCTTTGATGGAACCCTATGGCAAAGAAGTATGAAACACTGTAACATTTGTAGGATCACAAGTGGCCCAATACTACTGCTGTTAAACTTCAATGAAGATTATGCCTGAAATGCAGAGATTTCAGGACTTTCCAGATCATCTTAAAGCACAGTTTTGTCTCCACTGAGAAAACACTTTTACTCAGATGAGGCTGAACAGAGAAGTCATGTATTGAAATATTAAGCTATTAACTTTATGACTATCAAGTAGCTGAATAGTGCCAGTATGTTGTACAGAAAAAGAGAACAGCACTATCTGCAGTCAAACACTACTCCCAGTTCTTTTGATGGTTAAATGATGATACTCAAGTCGGACAAACCAGATGGTGTTTATACGGGCTAGTTTCTACTTGGGGAAAAAAAAAGTTGTCAAGAAAAACATCACAAACTGGAAGACAGTGCTTAAAGTGTTGGCTTAAAATAACGTTAAGTTAAAACCTCATGGTATTGAAGCTATCTTTGTATAACCTGGCTCTGTTAATCACAGATTACTTCTGTGGTACTGACTTTCAAATCTCAGAAGAACTGAAGAATCCCCCCAAAACAAAGCCCAGAACTCACCTGAAAAAAACAACACTTTTCTTCTGTGGAGTCTTACAGTGAAGTACAATGCTGTTACTATTCAGAAATGTAGATCCTATGTTTTTATAAGAGCACATTTTATTTAGATCTGTCTCCACTTGGTGAGAAAATTAGTATCTACAGTTTTCTAACCTGAATTTATTTTTTATTTTTTAACCAAAACAGTAAAAGAAGAACAGTTCAGCGTGTTCATGCATTCAAGTGCTATGCAAAAAACAAAACAAAAAAAACAAACACAAGAACCAAGTTTTTCTGTCTGCACCTATTCCCACACCTATCTTAGTTACCTTTCCTTTTTTTCAGAATAACAGAATAGTTGAGATGACGACTACTCAACAGCACAAAGTGAAGCACAGTAAAAAGAAATATTAACATTCAAGGAAATCCAAGAGTTTAAGAATAATGCTGTTTTCTCAAAGACAATGCTAGGCACTTCTCATACCAAAATCAAATGCATGGTACAAACCACAGCAATTCTGAAAACACAGGGAAGACAGAGTGAGACTGTTGGAAGCATCTTTTGGTACCCATCTTTGGTTATTGTTTTAACTTGAACGTATCTTTACTATCTATGTGCACTTCTGCAAAAGCCATGCTTATTACATCATGAAGAAACGATGGTTGAACTGGACTGGTTCTCTTGCTTACCCCAGGCATATATTCCATGAATATAGAGAGTGTCCTTTCTGGTGGGTCTCTCAAGAAGCCGTAATACTGAACAATTCTTTCATGCAGCAGATTTTTCAGCAGCTGAATCTCACATTCAAGTGCATTTACTTCCTACAAGGAAAAAAGCAAACAGGATTTACCACGGTCGTTCAGTAATATTAAAATAATGTTCTGGATTTTGGATTTCATTTTTCTTAAGCAGAATAGTATGTACTGCTGTTCTGAAAGGATATGTAAACTAAGTAATGAAACACTCTTGGAGGTTATGTAAAGTTTACAAAATTTGTAATCAGAAAATAACACCATTAGTTTGAGCAAAATGAAGAAAAAAAGATGTTTTCTATAAATTGCTTGCCCTTCTCATTGTATTTCTTTGAAGTTATATCTGTTCCAGAGCACAGATATCAAGATGTGTATTACCTCACCAATCCTTATGTAACATATCACAAAACTCCCATTTAATTAATTTATTAAGTTCAGTCTTTCTACTGGAATAATTAGCCTTATTTCTCAACTTTTCCGGAATGTCAACTGACAGACCATACTTTAAAAACGCCTCTGAGGACTGCTTGATATTGTAGTCATGAAAAACAATATGCAAATACATTAACACATATGGTGCTTTCTCCAGAACTAATCTAACTACCAAAAATTTTGTAAACAGAAGATATTTTGAAAGACTCTACAGTAAGATGCTAAAAACTCTACTAACCCACTTTATTCTATTCCGGATTTCACCCAGAAGCCTTTCATTAAAACTGACTTATCCATCGCAGACTATTGCTGATATCCTCATACTTCTGAAGTTAGAAGGAAAACATTTTTGACGTTGAAAGGTACACATTACAAAATAATATGGCGAGTGAGGTCACAAAACTGTTGCCACTGGAGAGACTACAATATTTTATCTGTAACACTTCTGAAGCTAAGTCGTGCTGTGTATTTCTAGAGTAGTTGGTGTTGCTACTTGATTAAAAACATAACACCACAAATGATTCTTGTCTCTTCTCCTTGATCTTCCATCACAAATAGCAGCAAGCATCACTGGTAGCCACTCAATTCTGCAGCAATGCTTACACCCTCTGCTCGCCGGCCTTGCTCACCATGGTATAAAACACAGTCTTAATGCAGGAAAAATAGTAATAATTTTTCCGTCCTGCTAAAAGGAGCAAACATGACTTGAAAAAAAAGAAATGGAAGATTGGTGTTATTCTAAAGTAGTTACTCTTCTTAAGTGTCCAATACTTTTAGGAGGACAAGTTCAATTTTAGAGAGAATAACCTGTCACTGAAAGATTAGCTCTTCAGAGAGAAACATGGATTGTCTACTGCTTCTCTCTGAAGAGATGTGATATGCGAAGCTTAGCAGACCCACCCCCAACTCAAAGATTTAATAATTTAAATTAAAAACTGAAGAGATTTTTAAAAAGAAAAAAAAAAGGAAAGAAAAATTTCATATCATCTTCAGAGCCAAACAAAAAAATCCCTTAGAATTTATTTCAGGAACACTTAAATTAGTGCAGGATTTCTGTTTGTATGTGGAATGTGTTTTAATTCCTATACTAGTACAAACAGAGTGCTCTTTAGTAGGTAATTATTTGTAATGAATCGATTAATTTTAGAGACCAAGACTGCACCAAATCAAATTGTGTGTTCACTGCATGAGGATATATATGTCTGAAAATTTTCAAGTGTGATGTAACATTAAAATCAGGTAACCAAATTCTTTGATGTATTAACAAAATGGGATTCCTAACAAAGACATGAAAACACATCTTTTTTTAAAACATTATCTCATTCAAGGAATGGACCAGTTTAGCACAGAACGTAGCACTTCAGTAGAAGCAAACTCTCTTCTGCATCACTTACCTTGCTGGTTTCTGGACTATCTGGATCAAACTGGACTTGCTTAACAGCCAGTTCTCTTCCAGTATCAGCATCATAACACAGATACACTCTGCCAAATGCACCTTGACCCAGCAGTTTTCCAAGTCTCCAGTTAGTTGGAGCTCGTGGTGCTGAAAAAAATAAGTATAGCTCTGGTTTTCAAGCGAGTTTCTTATTCGGCTGATTGAAAAAAAAAAAAAAAACAAAAAAAACACAACATAATCTTTAAAAAAAAGTTTTCCGTATTTTCCAACAACAGGGTGTCCTGAACTTTCCCATATAAGTTATGAAGATAATAAAGCTCTCTATGAGATGGAAAATATGAGGTACTCTAAATTTATTTTAAAAAAGTCTTCTAGAAATATATACTCTTAAAGCAGTTAGTAACATCGAATCTGAAAAACAGACAAAGCATATTATACAAACTTCGTAACTTTTTTTTAATTGAGGCATAATTAAAATCCATCAACTACTGAAGTCATCACAAAGTGTCTTTGTTCCACCACAAATATAAAACAGTACCAATTAAGACCAACGATGTATCAGAAAAGTTGACCAATATCAGCAAAAATAAATAGTAATTGTCATCTATGTGACCCTTCTCAGGTCCTCAAAAATCTAATGCATCAAAAATAGGTTTACAGTGATTTGTTACCACAGTTGTATGTTCCATGAGAAAAATCTACGTGAAGGTTGGCACAGTAAGCCATGAAAAAACTGCAGAGCCTACAGACTTCATTTTTTTCCTATTAGAGAGAAAAACATTACTTATCACATTTATTTTGATGACATGCTTAGTTTTGACACAGTATATTTGAAAGGTAAGAGTTTATATTAGAGTTCACAAAATTCCTTAACTTACAGCGACTTGGTGGGCTGATGTCCATCACCGACAAGGTAGGATTGTCTATGTCACTTCCCCTTCTCCTCATTCTGTTATCTTCATATTCTGGTGTAAAGACGCTGCTTCCGCTACTGGTGCTCAGCGAGTGATCGGTGGGACTGAAACTAACCGGTGATCGGAAGCTGTTCCCCTGAGTCCTTCTGGCTCTTGGAAAAGTTTTACGACCTTCAGTGTTAAAAAGGAGAAAAAAATATGCTACACTGCAAAAACATACTCCTGTGTAATTTACGTATGCAAATACTTCGTGAATTCCACATAATGTAGTTCAAGTTCTCTACGCCATATGATATATGCAATGATTATAGAATTTACTGGTCGAACTTTCAGACTAGAAGAAAACAAACATTCAAAGGTGTATGTAGGGATTAGGCAGAACAGTTAAAGTGTCTGAAACTGGGAGCAGCTTACAAATGACAGTTTTTAGAACTGTTCTGAAGTTTAACTGGCATGCTTCAGAAACCTGGGGGGCTGTGAGGGCAGGAAGGAAAATGTCCTGCCTCCACTTGTATTGCTCTGTTAAGATGCAAAGAATAAACTTCTAATAAAAAGAAGAGAAAGAGAGAGAGAGATGTTTATGTTCCAATGACACCCAGGCTAACATATTTATCCTTTTATGAAAATAAGAATCAAAAGTAGAGAAAGATCTACATTTGGAATCAGAGGGAAGACCACAAAATAAACATCCCAAACATCCCATGATTCATAAATAGTAACAGCATTAAAATAAAAAAAGGACATTGATATTCAACAAGGTCAATTACAACCAGATGCTTAACACAATGTCAATATATTTAGGTAACGAACATTTTTAGCTCTGCATGGTTTGATGAAGTTTCTTCCTAGGGAACTCAGATAAATAATGAATCAGACATTCCTTCAACTAAGTCTTATGCTGGAGAGGGAGTTTCCAAGGGACTGAAGGCAGATGAAACATCTTTGAAAAAGCAGACTCAGATTTATACGAGTCAGATCAATTTCAATTCTAAGATAAATATGGGAACAAACTATTAAGCAGTTTTATAAAGTACTGAAAAGACAATAAGGTGAGAGAACAGCCCAAATTGATTTTTCACATGTATCTTACCCAATTCACCCATTTCATAAGGACGTTCTCATAAGCCAATTAATGAATTGTTGCATAGACTAACATAGTGAAGTGGATGCCCAAGACAGACTGAACAGTTACCAGTTATGTCTCACCCAAAAGAGACTAATTCAAGTGGACACACACAGCAGTTTACCTTCAGTTCACCTCCTTACACTATTTTTAACTGATGAGATATAACGATGGAACAGAGTACACTGAAATACTGCAAGCGACATCAAGAAGGGCTTGAAGTACTTTTAAAGATCAAATTCACAGTGATGTTGGTAAATTGGAGATGGTTCACAAATCAACAAGAAGAAATTCAGTAAGGAAGCGAACATATATACTTAAAGAGAAATCAATTTCAAAAAACACAAAGTGAAAAATAATTGGCTGACTAACAGTAACATAAGAAAAGGGCATGGGAATTGTATCAGACCACAGATCAAGCAGTAGTCAGTATGGTGACTCTGAAGGAAAAATAAAGTGCCATTCTGGAATGCATTAACAGGACTGTTGCATACAAAGTCATGGTTACACCCTGTTATACATAAAGCAGCCACTAGAAAAGCCTCAGCTAGAGTACTTTATTCAGTTTTGGCCACCACAAGACTATAGAGAAGAGACCAGAAAAAAAATTAAGGGCCTTTCAAAAATGCTTGAGGAAAGGTTTGAAAGAAGAAAGCAATGGAGTATCTCTTCCCTTAGAATCACTTTAGAGTTTACTTAAGATTCAGTGTGACAGAAATCAGTCAATTTAATCCTGCCTCAGAACAAGGGACTGCCTTGTTTCAGTTTGGTATTTCTGTGATTTCCACAGCAGAATTCTGTTTATTGCTGTAGTCATTTCAGAGTACAAATGAAAGCATCAGGTCTCTGGAGAAGTTTCTTCTTAGCACACTGAACTAGTGAGATACTCTGAAGTCAAAGAATCCTTCAGCCGCTCCTCTCTTCTTCCTTTTGAAATTCAGGATGTGTTGAATTTAATTGAAATGTCATTACTATCCAAACATGGGTTTTGGCCACTTCAATAAACAACAGAATAAATTGCTGGAATGCAAGACTAACAGTTGATTTTTAATTCTGTCAAATTGTTTGCTCTTCAATTTTATTTTCTCTTAATTGGGGAACTCATTAACAGTAACTCCATTCAGAATGTGGTGTTTGTGGGTGTTTTTTTTGAGCAAAACAAGAAATGACAAGCTAACTTTGGACAGGAAAGGGTCACAAGGGCATACACTGGGTGATTTGTGAAAGCCATAAAAGAAGTTCTATCTTTGGTCTGTTCATATGAGTCTTGAATTCTGTAATGCATAACTTTACCAGAGGTGCGACTACTCAGCAGCTCTAGAAATCATTAGAGGTTTATCAAGCAAGTCTGGGGAAAGAAGTTACGTTCTCCATTTCTTCAATACTTCGTTTTATTAAGATTTTACTATCTGAATTTTCTTCTTCAGTTTTTAAGAAGAGAAAAATAGGTTAAGTTGAACGCTTGCAGTATTTACACTTACCATCATTGTAATCCTGTTGATGATATGAAATATGATATCTTCGGGGATAAGTCCCCCCCTTTCCAAACTTCTCGAATATTGGAATATCATATTCTACTAGAAAATAAAAAAAATAAATTTCAAAATTAAAAATAAAGGCATATTAATCAGTTTGGTATTATAATTTTAAACTTAGAGGAACACATCAGAGAATATGTTTCAAGTTGAAGCCTCAAAGAAAAAAAGACTATAGAAAAAAAATCCCCAAACCACTAAAAAATAACTAGAACTAAAAGGACATCCAGCCTGAAATTCCACAGGATTTCAAGAATGTAACTCAAGTTGTTTGTAATCTCTTGCTTAAAACAGTATCGGTGGACTGCAGCATGCCTAGTTATTCTGTTTATTTTATTTTTTATTTTTTTTAGAGAAATTCTGGGAAACTATAGTTCAGCAGGAAAAGGAGCAGAAACTACTATAAATAATAAAATTTAAAAATGCATAAATACAAAAGTCTGGTAAATGAGTCAACACAGCTTGAATTACTAAAACACAGTGAATAAATCCTTTATGATCTATGAAGTATTCATGGTATAAAGGCAAAGTTCCTTCACAAATAAACTATTGGTTAAAGATAAACACATAAGATGGGACTAAGTGGTCAACAGTACCACAAAAATCTGGGCTACAACTCATACAGTTTAATTACGCATGAATTCTCTGGGCAGAACAATGTGAGGTGACAAAATTATCTGAAGAAACAAAGCCAACAGAAGAATCACAGGAAGCCCTTAAGAGTAACTGGTTGAGTGTTAAAATGACAGATGGAATTCAATGTAGACTAAAGGACTGTGAGAGAGATTTGCGGGAATGCAGCAACTAAACGCTGTTGGCTGAAAAGCAGACTAAATGCTGTAAGTCATTAAGACATACTGAACAAAGTTTTGGTCTACTCTTACTACACAGAAAAAAGATTTAAAAGTCCAAAAATGATCAAAGATACAAAATAGTTTCTCCATAAGGAGTGCAGGTCTCTATGGCCTAAAAAAGCAACAGCTTAAAGGGAGCCATGAGAGGTCCATAAAAATCACAAGGGGCATGCTTCTTCATAAAACACAACGAACATCAGCATCAACAGAATTTTAAGACAAGAAGTTGTGGGGAAGTGTACACAAATTGAAAGAGGGAATGTAGAAATTTGTAGAAGAAAAAAATCCATCAGAGTACAAAAAAGCATTTGCAGAATCTTTAAGACATACCTGACTGGGAATATATTCTGAGGCAGGAATACTATACACTCATCTATAGAAGCCTGATACTGCTTGTGGTAGGAGAATGGACTGGGCCAGGTAAACATTTTTTCTAACTCAAAACTATTTTTTTCTTTGTCATACATCAAATAATAAGAATAGATACTAAATAACAAGTTGCAGGATTAGTACGTATCTCTAGAATCTTTAAAAAACACTGTTTTTTAAATAACTGTTTTTTCACAGTTATGTGAATAAACCTTTATAACTAACATGAAGTGTGCTAAAATATATAACATACCAGAAACAACAACAACCAGAATACAAAAACCCACCACCAAGCCCATATAGAAAACATCCTGGATTCACTAGAAGCTAGTTATTGTTCAACAGCAAAATTTTATTTTTGAGGCATGTCCATAAAAGTTAACTCAAAATACTTTCAAGGTTACCCATTGCACTTGGTATCCTGAACCACACACAACAATTTGGATTCAAGCCAGAGCATGGTATGAAAGCAACATTAGTGGTGATGATTGATTAATTTATAGGCACAGCACATGGTTCTCCTTCAATCTTGCACTTTGTAAAGCTTTCAATTACAGCAGTTAAGAACACTTAAGAGTGCTCCTCTTTTCACAAAGTAGAAAATGAATGCTCCAACATTAAATAAACAAAGGTTATGCACCAATATAGAGGTGGACATTACAGTATAGTTTAACCAACTGTTGTGTGCCCCTACCCACTACATCCTTTTTCTTTTCAGAGGCAGATATGTCACAAACCTGTTGTTTCACACAATAATTGAAAGAAAATGTTAAGAAGATCTTAAATTTCATTGTATCTTTTCCTGTGAATATTTACATTGTATTTTGTTGCTGTTTTCCACTACCATAACAAGTTTGTGTAATATAATACCTCTTCACGTGAACATCCCTTTTGAGTCTTATTACTTGCCAGAGTATTTTGGAAAGCTATTAATATCCAGCAGTTTTGCCTACCTGAAAATTCTTGATGATTATCTGGATAGCTCTGTGCTCTTGGCATCCGTGATTTGGGATAGTTGTCTCTAAAAGTGTAAAAACGTACAGGAGTTAAAAATTACTGGTTTAGCACTTAATCTTACTGCGTCACAATTCTTTATGACTAATGAAAGCTTATTGCTACACAAGTCACTGTATCTGCTTACAAAAGTGGAACACAGTTAAAAGAAATTAAATCGATTAGGTATCAATAATAATCCAGTAACAATGGAAAAGCTTCCTTATTAAGCTTAATGTAGTAAGGGAACAACAGACTGTGTCAATGAGTAATGATACTAGTAAAAATCTGAATTAGCACTAATAAAGCTACAAAGGAGCACTGCTGTTTTAACATTTTTAAGGCTAAACACAATGGTTTATAGACTAGCAAAGTCTCTTATGCAGCTTACAAAAATCCTTAATGAAATTTAACCAAAGAAATGCAGAAGCTTTTAATGCCTCTAGAATATTTCCTCTTCTCTCCATGAAAGCTATAGGATTGCTGTATTAATTTTACTGAGTTACAGAATGATGAATGATTTTTTTTGGTTCTTATACAATCGGATTGTTTCTTGCCTACAGTTGGTACGCATCTCTTAGTGACTAAAAGGAATGGATGGGATTGCAGATCAGAGCAACCAAATACAGTATATTTCTAAAAACATACCAAACCAATCTCCTCCTTTTTTCTGGTAAGAATTTCTCTAATAGGTAACGGAAGCTGAATGGTGACACAAAACATACACCTCTGCAGGAAACATTTGAAAGTGGGGTGAAAAAATAAATAAAAAAGGAAAACAGACTAAGCAGAGATGACAAAACTAGTAAATAAAAAGCAATTTAAAAGTTTGGAAACAGAAACAGTCAAATTAAGATTGCCTTGTTTACCCTTCTTCTACTTGTCCCTACCCCATTAAAAAAAAAAAAACTAGAAGTTTGTTGAATTTCTATTCTAATTAGCTACTTTAAGCTTTGTATGTATTTAGCCGCATTTCATGTCTATTGTTTTGTTTGTGGCATGAAGAAATATTATTTAATTCAAAAAGTTATTTGTAAGACCAAATGCATTTCTGTCCTCAAATCATTCTCAAATGAAAAGGTACCACGGAATACCATAGCTCTAATTGATTGCCATAAAAAATGATACCCAACTTCTTACCTCTCTATTAATGAAAGCATTTAATTAGTAGCATTGCTAATGTAGTAGTTCCAAGTAAAGGAGGAGCCAATCTGCACAATTTAAGACCCCACTTTATTCGTCTGACCAACCAGAAGCCAAGCAGAAGTGTGTACAGTTTGGAGCTCCTGGCAGATGAGAAACTGTGGGCAGTCACCCTCTTGAAATACATGCATCTCCTGACAGGTCAATAAAAAGAGACCTCCAGGCTCGCCACCATACATGCTGCTTCTCGCTAACTGACAGGTTTAAACAAAGGAAAATAAGCGGGAAGTCTGCAATGGGAAAAAGGGACAGACTGGACAGTAACTGCAAGGAAAAGGAGGGGACTGACTGCTTAAGTCTTAAATCAGTTCCACCTCCTTTCTGGTATTGGGTACCCTCAACCTTGGAAAAAGGGAAATTCATATAGCAGTACTTAAGAAGTGTAAATTTGATGGGGATGCTCAATGCCAAGGAACATACTTCATATACGCATGAGTGGCAAAATGTAGTTTAAATGTTTAAATGTAGTTTAGTGTATTTTTGTAGGATCCAAAATCTAAATTTAGGTTTCAAATGCAAATTTAAAAAGGAAAAGAAAGCTACTTTTTTTTTTTTTTGCTGTGCATTAGTAAGCAATTGTATTTTGATAAGCTTTTGTAAGCAATGCAGGCTATTGCTGTAAATTAAGCAGTTGTCCCTCCAATTTTCATGGCCTGTTCTGCATCTTAAAGGTCTTGGATCAAGAGAAATTCCTAGAAGTTCAGTAGTAGCTGTTGCTGGAGAGTTTTTATATGTTACAACTGATACATTAAGCAATCTAACAAAGATAAATAATGAATGCAATTAATTCTTACCCATCTAAAGGGCTGTCAAGTGATGGACAGCTTCCTGAGCCAGAATTTTCAGGACTGCTCAAAGACAGTGGATCCAGCATCTATTAACAATACAAACAGGTATCAGAGCAACAACTTAAAAGCTTTTTTTTTTTTTTTTAAAAATACTTGAAGGTTTTGGCTTTTCAACTCCTAATAAATAAATTTGTGTGTGTGTGTTTTTTTTTTTATTTTATTTATATTTATTTTTTTTATTTATTTTATTTATATATATGTGTGTATATATATATATAAATAATATATATATATACACACATATATATAAATAAAATTAACTACCAGAGAAAAAGTTGGCTGCCGTAGTTGAACCTGCATTACATATTTTTTCCCTGAAAGGATTCCATCATTTTCCTCTCACATGAGTACAATAAAGTTAAAGCATTTAATCCTCAACAATGGTCCACACACACCTAGTTGTACTGCTACACTCTTCCTGTATGCATCGTTGACTATTAATATTATAGCAATACCTTCATGAAATTGTCTCAACAGAATAAGGTCTCCAAAGAGAGAAAAAGGTTAGAGAATTTAAAAATAAAAGTGAATTTCATTGTCATCAAGGAAAAAAAAATCATGAATGATACTGATTGTGATGAATGCAATTTGTACAATCTCTGAAGTGATTTAAGTTTCACCAACTAGAATTCTCAGAAAATCGTAGAAATAAAATACTGTAAAAAGCTCTAAACATCTATCTCTGGTTAGGACTCCAAGCAAGTTATTCAGAATTATGAATAGAACTGGACAGTAAAAGGAAGGAGAAAGATGGAGGAACACAATTTATAAACATTCTTTCTTTTCACCCAAACTAAAATACTGTTTCATATAAAATACACTTTGATCTGAAAGTGGAGTTTACAAAAAAAACAAACACTGAACAATGAAACACCAGAAACTGATTTCTTCCTAAAGCACTTCTGACATCCTAGTAATCAGTACTCACAAGTTACATGATATCTTCCATGCATCAGTGTGAAGGAATCATAAAACTGACTATCTAGACCAGATCCATCACATAATGAAAACATATATCAACACTTGCTCAAATTCTAATCTAGAGAAAAATAAAAAGTATGCTCTTGACAGGCAGCTATTCCTACCAGCTGATGTTAGTTTTTGTTTCTCTCACTACCTCCCTTAAATCTTCAGTGTAACAACTGGCAGGTATTCCTTCCTACTCTTTTGCAGTAAAGCAATCTGAAATTTTTACACATTTATTTTTTAAAAGATGTAGAAACAGAATCTAAATCTTGAATATAATACTAATGTCCATTTTACTAGCCTGCCTCTCAAAAATAACGAGCAGCTCACCTGTTGTCTCAAAATGAGCTCCTTCCTGAAATATAACTTCTTTGGTATGTTACACATCTGCTATTTCTTACGATTTGGATGATAGTCCACTGCTGTAAATTAAGCAGTTGCCCCTCTGATTTTTATGGTCTGTGCTGCATCTTAAAGGTCTCAGTTACGTGACTTTGTAAGCACCCATCAAGGACTTACTAAAGAAATAGTGCCGAGAAAGTGAGTTTGTAGTCTACAAACTCACTTAAAATGAACTCTATATTGGGAAGGATTAAATTCACCATACGTTCAATTCACCATAGGCTCAACGTTATATTCCTCTTCTATCATGCTGAGCACTGAGTCCTGAAAGGGAAATAAAACCCTATCTGCTGCCAGACCTATTACCCCTATAATTTAACACAGTGTATTTCAACTGGCAGACCATGGTCCACTTCTCTCCAACCCACCATCTTTTCCCTAGGGGAAGTGTGGGGTCTGAGCACGAATAGCAGTGCTGAAATAGCTCAGCAGAAGAGCAGGGTAGAGCCCTCCACTCCCAAATTCCCCTCCTGTTGCTGAGGCAGGCTGTGACAGAGAGGCAGCACAGTCAGCACTTGGAAAGGTGATGTGGCAACTTAGGGGTAAGGGAACCAAGAGAGGATGTGAGGTCCCAACACCTAAATCCAGACCTGAAGGCTGCTCAGATTGAACTAACCTGGCTTCCCATGACAGTAAAATGCTTTTACTTAAATTCTGTTGACAGCTCACACGGCAACTCTTACATGGCAGATTACATGTTTCTTAACTACTCTGGAGTGAAAGGACATCCTGGGCCTCTGAGCTCATCTGCTTGGACAGTCAGTGGCCAAAACCAACTTTGTCCAGGCCAAAAGCAATCTTTTCACTGAATGAACTCAGGCCCAGGCTGGATGTGACCACACGGCTATGAAAATGAATAGTACCCCAGGCTGGAAGTTGGGAGATTCAGTCTCTACTCCCGACTCAACCATGAAAATTGTGCAATTCATTGCACAATCTCTGTGCCTCTATTTTTATTCCATCATCTGTCTCTCATTTACTCAGCTCATAAACCACTGCCTCTTGCCATTTGTGAATACCATGCCAACGTCAACAGGAACTTGAAATGATTTGGGTATAAAGCATTATTTTTTCTCTCCTTAAAAATAACTTTCTCCACTGCCAATTCTGTGAACCATTACATTCCTCCATCTTTCCCTGATGTTTTTAAGAGGAATTTAGTATTTATAAAAGTCTTGCTCTATGAATATCTAAGTGTGCTGGTAAGCCCACACAAACAACACAGGTAAGGAGAACAAAATATCACACGTTTGTGATCACCACACAAAAATACAACATCAGAATGTATTTCAGAGCTTATTTATAGCAGGCCCATCATCATCCTCCTTCTACCCCAAAACACTATCAGCTGAGTCCAAATAATTCAGACAAAGCCAAAACTCATCTCTAGAACCTCCTCTGATTAGTTTTGCAACTTGCAGAGGTAATCTTTCTTACCCTTCTTACTAAAAAAAAAAAAGATTTTGTGCTTTCCAACGTGGACATCTTTCCTGTAATTTGTATCTTTCCCTACTTCATTCATCTATCATGAAAACGAAGAACACTATCTTTCTCTCTGTAGCAACAGATTTAAATAATTGAACAGACTTATAGAGAAAAAAATAGGCTCTACAAGACTAAATAAGCATAATTATTTTAACCTTCACTTACAGATCATGTTTTTTCCTAGGGCTTTTTTTTTTCTGTTCTAAAAATTACATATCCTTCTTGAAATAGCAGTACTTTGTAAATCAATCTCACTTGCAAAATCTTTAATTTCAATCAATCACACACATACCTGATCCATGCTTTCTGGAATGAATTCACCCTCACTGTTGATACTGGTGAACGACCCATTTCGGGCCACCTGGTGCAGCTCATCTGGAATGTATCCTGGGGGTGGTGAACTCCTATCACGGGTATTCGAACCTTTTGAAAGAACAGGGCTAGTTAAGAGTCTCTTCATTAACCCCAAATCCAGGGTCTTTATTCACATGCTTCATAGAGACTGAGCCTGCCCGGATCTCTTAACCGTATTCTTAATAAACGCACAACAAATTAACTCATCTGAAAAAGCATTAACTCTAGTTTCATAATTAAATTTGGAAGCTAACATCACACCAACGTAAAAACATGAATAGGCAAAAAGGTTTTGTCAAAGCCAAAAAGAAAGAAAAAAGTATCTTGAACAAATGTTCACACATTAAGATTAAAAATATAGGAGTCAAACTGAGCAAGAAAACATGTTCCCATATAAACAAAGATTTGTTCAGTAACTTGTTCCTGTATCTGAAAATTAAGGCAAATATTAAAATCTTTTCTGGATACCCACCAGTTAACATCAATAATTCTACATAGGTATATATGCTTGTAGATGATTTTTGGGGGGAGGGGGGGGGGAGGGGGTGTGAAGGGGGAGCTTGTGAGGGACAATTTTCTATACTGTATATTAAGAGTGGTTACCTTTGACTTAAAATTCAAAGTTTTAAAGAAGACATACTCTATAGTACAGTGTCATCCATAAGTAAGAGAAACATAAAACAGTCTGTGCTGAGAGCAAGATTTTCATGAAGAGAATATTACAAAAAATTTTTACAATTAAAACTATTAAAATCCATGGCTTACCTACTACAGGAAGCTGCCTTTTTCTCTCTGTGACACCAAACACCGTATTATCTAAAGCTTCCAAAGACGGTAATGGTTCCACATTATTTACACTAGGTGACTGAAAAAGAGTATATATTACAGACTATAACTAATTTATTCTCCTGACAATCAAAAACCTTCACAAACTTTTAAAGGCTTTGTACAAAGTATTCCTTTTTTCAAGGAGTCAAAATGAAATTTGTAAAATTATGTCAAAAATAATCAATTTCAGTAGCTCATTCTTAATATTTAAAATAATTTTCCATATGCACTAGTATACAGGATCCTATCAATACCATGGCTGTGACCTGTTAGATAACAGCAAAAATAACTCAATATTTAGCCTGTAGCCACCGTTTCCTAAAACACTGCTACTGTTAGCTAAAACAAGCATTCAGTGTATCACAAAAGTGCATCACTAGCACATCACTTAAATAATAGTTTCAAGTAACTACAGTAGCTTAAAATTCTATGCACTTTTCAAATTTGCCTTACATCCTCATCCTTCTAAAGAACACTTTAAATGTTCAAATGGTGTAAGGAGGACATCCAAAAAAAGGGGAACAGTATCTAGGAAAAAGTTAAAACTGACTCAATACAAAATGCTAATACACACTTCTTACTTGAACTGAAGTAGTCCTTAACATTTTCAACTGGGAAAATGTCATCATTAAGAAAAAACACAAATTATACTTCCATCTGAAAACTGAGGAAAAAGACATTTAGGATGTCAGTTCATACCTGTGTATTTCCATGTATTACAAGCAATATTTTGAGACTCTTCATATGAACACTACGGTCAAGCAGTTCAACTGCTTTGTCCAGGTCATCTTGTGTGGTTAATGGAATTACAAGCTACAAAAAGGATAAAATAATAAATAGCTGTCTTAAACAGGACATGGGAAAGAAATTAGTTAGTCGAATACAGGAGAACAGATAAATTGATTTTATCTTTCCTTTCATTTCAAACAACTTGGAAATAAGATTCACTAACAGTATCTTAAGTTACCACCAAAATGTACCAGCAGAAGTCCGAGGCCCAACTTTAACTCTTCCTTTAGAGGCCTTCAGTAGCTACAGCATGTTGGAACAAGTCTTCACAATGTGGAAACAACTATTTCACATATGCACAACTTGATTTCCTACAGTTTCAGAAACATATGTGCAGTGTCAATATATTTTCCATTTCCTAAACTAATGCAAGTACGTAGGAAGTATGAGGACATCTTATTTTCTAGACTACAAGGTAGATATTCCTCTCTCATAATATTACAGCTGTATTTGTTTGAAGTTGCTTCATTTACGTAATGCCTCCAATGAACAACAGAATTTATGACGGAATTGTATCTGGCTACACAGAACTGTGGTTTCCACTAGAATCTACCTGGCATCCATGTTTCTTCAGAAAATAATATGCCATTAAAACCCACATCAAATGAGAGTTACATAGTACTAAAATAGGGCATATGTTTCAGGAGTAGAAATTATGACTGTTTGTAACAAAGGAGCAGCAAAATGTTTTGTTTTTTTTTAAAGCTATTCTACTTCTCAACAGTTTTGGTCAGTGATGCTCCAATACAACAGATGAAGTCTTTTTATACCCTAAGAAATGGGAATGAGAAAGGAAGGTCTTGATAAAAAATGAAAAGTATGCTCATTTGAAGTTGCAGTTTTAATGCTAATGGCAGGTTATTACCACCATCACACTTCTAGAAGGGTGATGTGATGGTTTGCCAGCTAACACAAAAGATGAAAACCTGTTCAAATATCCAAACACCTACCAGAGAAAGTAGCTAAAGCATTACAAACACCTATTTTCTCTGAACTTCTGAATCTCCAGATGGAATTTCTCTTGTAGAAATTCTTTATTTTGAGGATCGCTTTCAAAAAAGTGTCTGGTTAGCAACCAACAAACAGCAACTACAAGTATTGACTTCAGCAAAGATTCAGCAATTATGCTGTGCATAACCAAGCACACAAAATAATCCTCCAAGCATTTGCTGACTCAATGCCAAAAACAGAAGTGAGTCCTAAGAACAGATCCTGTACCCATAAACGTATCTTCCATTAACAATCCCATCTCTACTTCCATAGGAAACCTGGAAGTAATCCTGATCAGGTGTCACTTAAACCTGTGGCCTGAGAGCATTAGCACCCGGCTACTATTCGGGAAATCTCCATGAACCAGACACTTTAAGAGGAACAACAGTTAAGCTTAGGCCTCCAAACTACACATTATTAAATGCAGCATTTGTGTAATTACCCAGTGAGATTAATTCTCAAAACAAAGAAAAAAAAAACAAAACACCACAGAAAACAGTAACAACAAAAAATACAGCACTGTACAATAAAGTATGGATGTTACTGTAGAAGTTTACAAACACAACGAAGCTCAAAGAGGTAAAGATTTTCCCGAATTCGTGCAACTGGTCTGTGGCAGACACTTGCCCATTCCCAATCAAGTCTGAGTTACAGCTCTCCCCATTAAACACCTCATGAATCCCTTGCCTATCTTAAGTTAGGCAAGTCTTATATATCTGCGAATGCAAACATTAGAAATCTGAGGTTTTGTCACAGGAGTGGTTCTCATTGCTATTGAGAGCAAATTTCAGCCTTAAAATAATCTATGCACAAATCACTGAAAATTTAGAAAACACAGAGTATTACCTCATTATTGCTGTAATGTAAATCCATAGTCTGTCCAAAAGCAACTTTAGCTTTAGCTGCAAGATCTTCAAGTTTGACAGGCCTTGGTAACTGGAGGATCCTGAAACACAATATAAGTTAGAGAATTTTTATCAATTATTCATGAAAATCTGTTACCTCGCTACTTAAAAATACTCTTCGAATCAAAGTTATTACTAAAAAGACCAAAAGAGGCTCTGCCGTATTTCCTGTTCCCTATATTTAGGAATCATCAAAAGAAGAGAAGCAGTAAAAAAAATAAAAGGGATAATCAAGCATAAAATCAGACTCCATTATGAGCGTTTAAATTTCTTATATACGGCTTCTTTCTTAACTTAATCCTTTGCTTCCAATTCAAAGAGAAATTCTTAGAAACATCTACCATTTCACTTTCTTCTGTAGAAAAAGTAGAGTAACACAATGGACTACCACAGGCTGATGAACATAAGCATCAGAAAGAAATTAGCCCTGCAGTCCCATTTTTTGGAAATCCAAAATTTTCTCATCTGAGGAAGGTTACTAAACACAAGCGTCCTTAGAATAACAAATGACACATTAAAACTGATGAGTCCATCATTAACTGTGCAAGTGTACCCCCAATAAGAACACTGCATCATGTAGATCAACAGTTCCAATTATCATTTAATCGGATGCCTTTCCAAACCAAAAAGAGCAAAACGCTTATTACTGACCCTTTGCTATAGAAAAGTATTGTATTATTTGGGACAGAACACTATTAAACAAAAGGAATTTTTTTAGAAGTGACTAAGCAAGTCAGGTACATTTAAATTTTAAAAAGAAACCACACAAACTTTGTTTAGCAGAAAATTTGGGAAAGGATAACTTTCTCTTATCCATGTTCTAAGCAGTATTCTAGGTAGGGAACAATATTTCATACTGAAATGAGGCTACAAGCAAGATCACTTTCAATTTAAAATTATTATAAAAAAAACACCAACAATAAAATCAAATAAACATATCGACTCTCACTGCAGTTCACAATTTGTTTAGAAAGTCTGGAACTCTGCCTACCACAGTGCATGCTCCTTGGTACAGAGCACCACATTCACTGCTAAAAGGACTCTGGAATCACTTCTCTTTCCCACTTCCCTTTTTAAAAACTAGCAAGAAAGCCATTGCACAACTTATTTTTCTTGCATCATTTCATTATTTTTTCCTTTAGATCTTCATGTTCAGGCAACAAAAGTATTAGAACTCCTGCTGAGCAATAAGGTTGGCCTGCCCAGTACCCTTGGACAAGCAGATTCAGGTTGCTTTGGACAATCCAAAAGAGAGCTGGGCTTATCAGCATAAAAGGTTGGGAAAGTAACCGTCCATGCACTTACTTCATTCTTGTTTTCATAGTGAACTGTTTAACTTGGTCCACTGCAAAATGAATTAAGACAAACTACAAAAATGCACGGCCACGCGGGCTGGCAGTGAGTAAGCAGTTCTTTGTTTTAAATACACACTTCCCTTTATTTCACAAGAAATCCCAAGGTAGAAGAGTCCCCAGTGTTAAAAGTCTTTTAAAAAACTTATTTCCTCCAAAATACTTCTAGCACTCAACCATTACCAAGCCACCATTATCTGTGATGTTTGGAAAAATGAACAGAAAAAGATATTGAAGAATGTTAACACCTAGCAAATTTACCGTTATTTCCCCTAACTTGTATAAAGGGAGATCACAAATTGTAATCGGCATGGACACACACTCATCTGTTGCACATCACTAAGGACTGCCAAGTAGCAGCAGAGATTTTGTTCTGATGCAATCTTTGCTTAAGAAGTTTACCAATTCTATTGACAAATAGTATAGCGAGGATTTTATTTCCCTTTTCATTACGTATTTTCAAAAATCTTAATTTCTAACTATTTCTCTGTAGGTACAACCCTTTCAGAAAGAGACAAGACAAAATACAGTTGCCTGCAAACCACTTCTGCACAGAATTGGAGGTAGACTTCTGTGAAATCTTTTGAGCGGCCATCAGAGCAGTGTTATATAGAGATGTTTCTATGCTTTAAGCATGCACATCATTCACCTACCTCTTATACAAAGAATGAAACTCATTTTAACTGATTGTTCAAAAAATACCAGTGAAGACAATCTAATTATAAATTCTAGTAAATTTTCCTATTATAGTTCTCAAGACTGGTTCCTCCAAAGCGCAAGCCACTATTAAGATTAAAGACCTAGGCTTCTTACTCCAGGTTTCAGAATATTACCATGCATTTATGAATTATTTTTAATCATATTAAAAATATTTGCTGGTCTACTCATATTTAAGGCCTAAGCTAAGAAATTGCTTTAGGCTACAAACATCTACCTGAAGGGTAAAACCATGAAGGATATTACATGGGACTTAGCTACAGTAAGACACTTCTGCATTTGTGTATAACCTAATATTTAAAGATTAATTCTGCATAAAACGTGCTTACATAAAAATTGAATTTAAGATCAGGCCAAACACACTCAGATATCTGAAACACTCTGAACAGTTATTTGAAACTTTGTGACAGGAGTGCAACAAAATCTACGAATAATTAAAAGACTGTTTCCTGTGTTCCCAGCTTACCTTTTTTCACCTCGATGTTCAAATTTGACTCTAACATCATTCTGTAACAAAAAGAATACAAAAACATTACAATATCTGCAGCCAAATCCTGCATGATTGAGTTCAAAGCTTGCTGCTCATCTGCTCAGAAGAAAAAGAGAAGGAAAGTGTAAACAACTGTTGAACTTGAATACAAAAACTATTAGTTTGTTGCTACTGCCTCTAGCAAAGGCTGTGAAATTTCACTCAATAATCCTAGACCTTAAGTAAATTTTTTATAAAGATCATATTGTTTTTCTGTACTTTCTGATTTACCAAGCTTTTTAACAAGCTACTTCTGCTGAGGTATCAGTAGAAGATTAAAATGTGTAAGAAACACACATACAAAAAAAGATCCTCAAGTACAATGAATGATTCTGTAAGTAAACACATCATTTTAAATCAATATATTTTAATATTGTAACACTTTTGTAATTTGAAGTTCAGCATGAAACTGATTACCAAACAGTCCTCTATTGTGAACAGGCACTGGACTGATTGCTATAAGAAATAAAAAAAATAATTAAATCTAATGTTTTTATAGTTCTAATGTTTTTTATGACCTGGTTACTGACAATCTTCTATGCCCTGCAATCCATGGGAATAATAAAAAACACCTTGCTGCACTGGGACAGAATACAACTGTTCTTTCAAACTTTGATTGTGAAATTGGTGAACATACAAGGAAGCTTTTTTCCCCCCCCTCTCTGTTTAAGGGACACCTTGTTTCATAAGTATTACCATTTAAAATCGCATTAAGTTAGGATCCCTATAGTTTTCTAATACCTGCAGTCAAAGAAGTAAAATTCTTTTGCAAATTAAAAAATTTAAAAGTCAAATTATATTAGCAACTATTACAGCGAAAGATGACATTCAGCTAGAGATTATGTCCAAAAAAACAAAACTTTCAATCTTCCAGAAGATTGATATACGCAGAAGACTCACAGATTTAAACAGAACAAAGATACATTTCTGCCTTACCACTAACATGCTTAAACTCAGAAATGGCTCAATTATTTTTTTTATTTCTAAAGATTATATTCAAATCATTCAAGATCATATCTGTACATTACTTCAATGCCTGAAGTCACAACTCAGAAGTGACTCACACGATACTAGCAAAAAAAAACTGTTATATACTAAACTTACAGAATGAGAAGGATATAACATAGCAAATTTTTAGATAGTTTAAGAGTCAAATATACTTAAATACTTGGATCTTTAACGGATTAAAACAAGACTGTACAAGCTAATGGTCCTTGTGATATTGGATTGCCAATTAAGGGTCCAATCACATACAGTTAATCCAATAGGCCTATTACAACAATTTGGGTAAATATCCATATCCTCTCTTCTCCTAATCTCTCCATACAGTGATTCTATTCCAGCTGTGTTGGGCATCTGCAGAAAAAATTAAAGCTGTAAATAACTCACATCTTCAGCATATGAACAAACTAACAAAAAAAATCAGGCCAAAGATGGAGTAAAGGAGCTTAAGTATGGTTTGTGCTACTGTGCTGATATCTGCGCAGTTGACACATGTGCAATCCAATATAGGTATGAAATTCATTCTAAAGAAGCATTTTAAATAGAAGATGCACAGCTTGACATTTTAAAATACTCTAAATAAATGTTGTCAATCTTTATACAGTGTCAAAACATCTCTGTGATCTTCAGTTTACCAGGATCAGAGTCACATAAGCATACACTATGATCTGGTCTGAAATCCTACTGCTTCATTTTGCTGCTAATTTAAGAACATGAACAAAGGAAATGGCAGCACACGCGAGAAACTAATAGCTCATTCTGGTATGTTCACTGGCCTGGCAAGAAGAATAATTACAGAAGTCGCAGCAGGCCCTCCAGTTTTCATTACATTAGTAAGGATATTAAAAATTACCTGTTTTTTAGGTGAAGATGACTTTGGTTTTCCTGTTTCTTGCTGAGGCAATACAGGACGACTGGCCTTATGAAGCACAGCCAAATCCTGCATGATTGAGTTCAAAGCTTGCTGCTCATCTGCGCAGAAGAAAAAGAGAAGGAAAGTGTAAACGACTGTTAAACTTGAAGTACATTACTGTCTTATTTCCCAGTTAGGCAAGCATCATTCTAAAACCTAAAAGTCATCTGCAACACGTAATTGCCAAATTTAAAAACATTACTGCCACGCTGCAATCAAATATTTTTATCTTATTATTAGCAGTGCTTAAGGAAATAAACAGCTTAATCATTAGCTATACTTAAGTGGCAGGTTTAAGAAGTAGGGTCATGCACTCAGGAATCATCATACCACCAATGCCTCAACACCTCCATTGTTTGAACATCTGCTGATGGCCCCATAGGGTATTTTTTTCCACTTTTTGCAGGTCTGCAAGGATAGTGTTTTGGGGGCTTACAGAAGCACAGCAAAGACCAAGATCTTATCACAAAAACCTACAGTTATGCATGAAGAAATCTGCCTAGCAACATGGTAACAAAGTTTAAAAATTGAACACAAGTCACACTTCATTAGTCTTGCAGTGATATTTTGAAGGGCAAATACGAGAAACAATAGAAGGTGAGAAACATCTTCAAAAAAAATTAATACCTGCAGTTATTCTTTTGCAAGCCAGTCTTTTTTCTCTTTTCACCTCTGACTGAACACTGACATAACAGAGCTTCTCTCAATTTTTTTTTTCAGTTCCTTCTTAAGAAATTTGAATTCAAAGGTAGCAGAGGACTACCACTGCAGTCCAGGGAAGTTTTATAGAGTACACAACTTCTGTCTTGCTTTCTCCCCCCTTTTCCCCACATACATATACACCCCCATGTTTCTGGGCATTTTTTTCACCACTTTCAAAATTAATTTAGCCACGTGACCTGTAAATGTTAAAATTTCATCGCTCTTGGAATTTCACACTTTAAAGGCATGAGGAAGACTTTTTAGGCTGTTCAGTCCAAATGATCACATCAACTGCTTAATAACAGTAGTATCAGAGTCCCTCTGCAATGGACAGCATTGATCAAGTTATCAGTCCTATGTCAGGCCCATGACAAATTATCAAAGTTCATATTTAAATGGTTCCAGTGGTTCCATGAAAGCACATAAAGCTTCAAGTAAGACAATGTTACCCTTGACAATGTGTCTTATGAAAAACAATTTATCAGAACTTCAAAGTTGAAGAAATTTCAAGACTAATAAATGGTAATTCTGTTCTAGAATTTGAGAATGCCACTCTTATTTATAGGAGTGCTATTTGCATACCTACCTAATTTACAAAGGGTTAAAAAAAATCAAAAGCATATGAACACGTTCTCTTAAAACAAAGGAGAAAGGAAAACACCGCTTTTCACCTCATTTCACACTTAAGGAATGCCTGGTTTACTATCATTTTGGTCTAAGGACAAATTAATTGAGGCTGAACAAACTTAAGTTCCACCTAAAAACATTGAATAAAAGAGGTCTATACCTTAATTTACCAACTGTAAACTTACTCTTAACACTGCTAATTTACACTGATTTTCAAATCTCCAGTCCCATGTATTCCTGGCTGCGTGTAGAGTGGGTCCAATCTAAAGCAAGACAGTCACAACAAGAAACAGAAGCACTGAACCACGGGACAATTTAGGGGAAAGAACACTACGCAGTTTAGATTACTAAATCCTGAGCATCTTCTGCTAGAACCGTGATGGCCTGAGGCCACAGAGTAGGATCTATTCTAGAGAAAATTTGCACTGGACTTCTTAAGACAGGAAAGCACTTAGGAACTAAAAGCTTGTCCATGCATCACTATGAGAAATTTATTTGATGCTATTATTTTGTATTAATTCCTTGGCACAACAACAATACTACACTCAGCACATACCTAGAATACTTGATACCAGAATCCACCTGCAAAAGTGCTACCCATATGCACTCATGCTACTTCACAATTAAAAAGGTTTGCTGAAGAATTACTAGCTAGATGCTGCTATTTGTAAAGAAGGGAATTTTCTCAAACATGGACCTGAGAAGAACTCAGCACTAAAACCAGCCAACATGCATTCCAGGTATCCAGCAGTGATGAGATAATTTATTCACACTCCATTCAAATATAACCAAATTACTTGTCAAATCAGTAAATAAACTTGTCAAATCAAGAAACTGAGGGATTTTGGAGTTCTAACTTAATAGATGCCTAACAAATGAGAAAACTGGTCTGAAAATTAGTAACTTTGATCACCAGTCAAGCTGCCATTATTCATTAACTCTACTATAATATGCAAATCTATAAAAAAAAAAAGCAGGTTTTACTAGAAATATTTCATAGCAGAACTGATGGCATTCTTGCAGCTGACAGTTATTCCTTTCTTAAACTAACACACATTTCATAACTTGCCACAATTCAATTAGTTCACTGTGTTATAGCCAATTCTAATCCTCGATAAGAAAGTATATTTTTAGCGGTGGGTTGGAGGAGGTAAAATTCCCAGTGTTCATAAGGCAGCACATTTCATACAAGGGAAATTAAAGTAGCGTGGCAAAGCATCTAAAGCTCACTGAATATGCAGTGTGATTCAATAGTCACCTCACAAAAAATGTCTAAGAATATCACAAATCTAAATACTACTTTATTCCTAAGCATGAGGTTAGCTCAAGCAGCATTAGAATAAAAGATAGACAAAAGCTTCTGACCCCAATTTTTATTTCTTTTATTTTGAGAACGAGCACCAGTAAGTGATGCCCTCCCCTAGCCATTACCATTCAGAGCACAGTAGGTATCACTCAGTACCCTAATGCCATGAGTCCTAATTTCCCATTGCTGGATGATTAAGTTAGCACATAGTGAGAGAAAAGTGCTATACTCCAATGGGGAGGAAAAACAAACAAACAAAAAAAACAACCACAGAAATATTTTGAACACTAGCAAAGCAGCTGAGCTTTGCCTTTCATGCAGACATTCCGTTAGGTTACACAGTTAAAGGAGGTTACACAGCTATACATTTCCTAAGAACGTATAAAAAAGCCATTATGTGAATGTATTTGCTCTTAAAAAGAAATGAAAAGTAAGTCAATTTTTATATATGCTTCACACAAAACTTACCCATAATGGCAGAGAGCCTGAAAACCTGAACTTCAGGGAAATGGCTGTCTCGTTAGCATTATTTTTTTTCCTAAAATGAAAACCACAAAATACAAAATTACTGAAGTTGTGAAAGCAATATAAAGCTGTAAAATCTTCACTTTCCATATTTTTTCATAATATTCTACATATGAAACATGCATATAAACGATACATAAACTAAATGTGTATATACAGTACAGAAAAAATGTATTTCTGGATCTCAAGGTAATTTTGGCTAGGTAGACAGGTCTTTCATTTTGAGTTTTTGGCATCGTGTCTCTTGCATACTCATCTCACAAAAACAGCCTTTTAAAGCATCATTCATTTCACCAGAAAATATAGAAAAATCCACTATGTATGGCAGGACCTGCAAAGGTCGTATTTTTCAGAAAGAAGTTTGCACTTGGGAGCCATGTAAAGTTTTCCCCTGCATACTGCCTTTTACCTACATAACAGATGACTCATGCACTACTGCCTGTTGAAATAGCTCTGTAATAACCAAGAAGAGACCAGGCTCTCAAGTACTCCCAGGTCTACAGACAGCCTCAAAGCAGTAGCTGAAAGAGCTTCCAAGTGCTATGGAAAGGAACTCCCCCCAATGCTTTGGAAAGCACTAAAGCCTGAAAGAGGATGAGAAGTCCATCTGACCTGGCCTGCCCTCAGTCTCAAGGCAGAAAGCCCAACTTTTACTGATAGCATTGACTATTGCCTCCTGATGCCACCACCAGCAGGAAACAGAAAAATTTTAAAAGCAAACAAAAAACTTCTGTTGCTCCACAACAGAGCTGAAAAATTGCAAAGATGCAGAAGAAACGGACTTGTACTTATCTTCAGAGAGCAAAACGGGATGAATTTGCATTTATTAGCTATGATGACTTAGTATAAGGACAGAATCTTTGGGCCTCACTCTCACAAGGTACCAGGAGATCTGCTTTGCTTAGTGAATGGGTTGTATTTACACAGCCTGAAACAATACGACTAACTTTTCCCCCATGTCTGATTTTCATGTCTTTTACATCCCTACGAGTAAAAACTGCAAAAGAGAATGTGTATTCTACATGTATGATTTCCTTCACTATGGTTTTTGTACCAGTAGTCATCTTTGGGGATCTGCCAAATATTTATTCACTAGTTATGAGAGTGTTCATAAAACAATTTTTAATTCTGTATTTGATCCAACTATCTTAAAATAAGAACTAGTGTCATCTTCACGAACACCTGATTTTTATTACTCACCTAATATTTTAAGCATAAAACTGTGGTTTATGACTTTGGTTGAAGTATTTTTGTAATATTTCCTTGCAAGCATTTCAAAGAAATACAGAAGTTCTCTGAGCATTTTAAATCTTCTGCCACACTAAGAAAAAAAAAGAATTGGTTCTACCACCAAGGAAAAATACCTAAGACTTTCTTCCTCAATCTAGCTATATAAATAACCAAACTTGGAGGCTCAAGGTATTTGAGTTGTAGGGCTTACACACAGCAAGCAAACTGAAAATGAAAAGAGATTTTATGAAACATCTTCGAGTTCCTCCAGCTGTAAGAACTCATTCTTTGCTATTACTCTGAGGCCTCATCTTAGATGCACATAAGCCAGCGAGTGAGCATCCACTTCTTTTCCCATAGGAGAAAAAAAAAAAAAAACAAACAACAAAACACTAGAAAAACACAAATTTCTATAATAACTTATGAAATTCTCACTTCATTGCTCTTAACCAGAATCCTGTTCCAACATAATGTATAATTAATCACCAACTGAACATATTAACATTTTTGTTAGCAACTGTCACTTCAAAAATAAGCTAATAATATTAAAATCTGAATTAAACAGGTGGCCCAGATCTCAGTCAGGAAAAAGACACCAAATCCTAATCCACGGGTACAGAGCAGCATTAGACAGATGGATAGAAACACACGTGGAGCAGATGAGAGACCAGAACAAAAAGAAAGCAGGAACAGGGAAAACTGGAACTCGGGAAGATCCCAGAGAAGCAAAAACAGCAAAACAAGAGAGCAGATGCAAAGGCAGAATAAGATTTTGTCAAGGTCTTGTAGAAAAACAGCAGCAGCTTGAATTTGAATGTAATTAACGAAAGGATGGCAGAGAGTGAATTTCAAGAAGGTGATGATGTGATAAGAGAGGCAAACAAAGAAGAATATCCTAGCAACAGCATTTTGGATCAGAGGGTGGAGAGATGCCGATTCATATTCATGATTCACTTCCCATCAGCCACCTTCCACAGAGCCAGGAAGTCTTTCAGGCTCTGGGAAAGCTGCTGAAGGAGGAATATAGCCAGGTGATTCTCAGAAATTGTTTGTAGCTTCCTCGTGATAAATGACACAAAGCCTGAGGGCAAGTACCTCGTGTGGATGATAATCCAGCTGCCAAAATATTCTGTGCCAACTGTCCACGTGCACGCACTTTTCCTACAATAACTGGACCAGGTTAAGCCACCTCTCCTGTACAGAGAGATGAAAGCGCACAAACGGTGGCAGATATACTATAGGATCTTTCAACTATTTATTGTTCACATTTGAAAACTTGAAGTCTAAAAAAAAGTTTAACCTCACACAGTGGTGGAAGAAAGCAGATGCTCTAAGAGATGACTATTCGGTAAGCTAGGAAGGGCGGCTTCAGAACAGGAGGATGATTTCTGAAGAGGGAAATTTGCTATAGCTACTATGAGAGCCACAACCCAATCCTGTGAGAACAGGAAAGGTAGCACATAAGCAGTCAAGAGAAGTCACTATACTGGAATTCAGCTTTAGAAAAACTCAGTCCTTTAACATATTGTGATAATCTATATGAAAAGGTGTCCACCAGGAAAGTAGAAAGGGGAGAACCTCCCCCCCCCCAAAAAAAAAAGTCAATGACACATTAGTAAATTAAGGTTACAAACAAAGGCAAACAAAAAAAGTATTGAACTCAACAGATCGAGTTTGAAACATCAGAAACAAGCCTAAATAAGAGTAACAAATATTCTACTACAGGATCTTTTAAATCTAAAAGATATTAGAGGCAAATGCACAGATAAAAGACTGACCAAAAAAAAGCTACATAGCTGTTGACTTAAGAGACAATCTAGACCATCCTGACAATCTAAGCCAGCAACCCCACAAACAACTCCAAGGCCAAGACAGCATTTAGGACTGACTTAGCTGTCCTCGACTCAGAGAACAGAAAACAGAAACTGTATTGCCTTCTATTTTTCCCTCTCACTGCCTATATTTCCCGAGATACCAGCATTCACCAATTCTATCCCGAGCAGCTAACCTAAAGCCTTCTACCACTGGGACAACCAGTTGACAGAATATCAAGCACAAAACACATCAAATGCTTGTCTGCAGAAAGAGAAGGGTGATTAGACATCTGGTTTATTTCCTGCAAATCTACTTGATTTTGTCTTTCACAATATTTTAGGACTTGTTCTGATTCTACGTAGCTTAGTCAGTGCACTTCTAAACTTTGCCCTGAATTTCCCACTCTCTTGTAGTTAAACAAGCTTATTCAGAACCCCAAGTTATTTTAACCTATTGTACAGAAACAGACAAATTGTACAGAAACAGACCAATTTTAAACATATACAATACCCTGAGCTAACTACCAGTATAGCACAACCAGCTTCCTGAAACAGTAATACTTAATTCAGGCAAAGTTAACGTCTTCCTCACAATAAAATCATACAAGGTGGAAAATAAAAAAATAAAAAAAAACACAAGATACACGTGTTTTACTGAATTTAGGTGGTGAGATTGCAAGTAGTGATACAAAATAGGAAGAAATAGTCAGCGTCCATTTTTGTTCTGGTTTTAAAAAAAAAAAAGCAAGAGGATGTATCCAAACCACAGCACAGTATTACTGGAATAGAAATTTCACCATCTACAGCAACTAAGGGACATGATGCACTATTTGTAGTATATTTCAGATAAAACACTTGAAATTAAAGATTCAGGCACTTACAAGAGTCTAAGCAAGACCCTTTACAAAATTACTGGATCAGCATTCTGGAGCACCCCTGCAAATATTTGGAAATATCTGGAAAATTGTAAATGACATATAAATAACTGACAATAGTCAAGGAAAAGGCCAAAGAGTTGTAGATATTTAGCTCCACATCAATTCAGAGTAAAATAATGTAATAATTAGCTCGGCATCTACGCTGAATAAAAAGTAATAATGCAGTAAATGCTTTGATTTCAAGGATTGTTATTACTGCCAGCCAAAATACAGCTTCTTGAAATGATTATAGATTAGTTAACAGAACTAACTACAGCAATTAGCCCACTTAGGTTTTTCCAAAAACATTTGGCTAAACATCGCACGATGTTTGAATTATTTGCTTAGAAGTCCAAATTAACTAACAGGAAACTCAGCTGATGGATTACAATAAAATATTTTGAGATACATTTTTCCACATAGCAGAAAACATCATTAAGTGTTGATTCCCAGCGCAACCCCCTGCAGCCTGGCAATGCTCAGGTGGCCACAAACATTGGGATACGCAAGTTGTAGCCTAGGAAAATAATCTGAATCAAATGTTTAAAAACAGTCAGCCCAACAAAATGTATTTAAATACAGTTAAATGTTATATTTATTTATTTATATAAAATAATCTGATGGTTTTTCATTCGGTATTTATTGTGTTTAACATTATTCAATAATGTTTTTGCATCAAATACACTCTTTATATACACTCAATAATGTTTTTGCATCAAATACAAAGACGATCATTGAGGAAATCAGAAACAAAGCTGCAGCTGCAAGAAAGGACAGTCCACAAGAGAATTCAGAAGAATTATTAAATTATGCTGCATAATTATCTAACACAAGAGTAACACGAAGTTAAAGAGGGATAATGCAATCCTTGCTTGTATAAAAATGCAATGCATGCAGAAGCCATCTTGCTTCTGTATGCAACCTACAGATTCAGCGTTCAGTGTGGAGTATCAGGAAAACTGCAGCCAGCAAGCGTGGGATGGCTGAAGCATCAGTACCTCTGTAGCCATTACAGATGTATCAGGTATCTCTGCAGCATGCAGACTTGCAAT